CCCAGAGTGTTCCATTATCGATTGCATTGTTGGCGGTATGTGGTGAGTTGAATTCAACGATCAGTGATCCGGATTTCTTGCCTTCTGGGAGGACAAGCCATGACACCTGGGTAATCTCGGCAGTGTCCCCCCAGTTGAACAGGTTCTCAGTAAGCAACTGCTTTATGATACTCTGTTTCCGGCCTTGCTCTCCGAGTCCTACCGCCGAATTGATACCGAGAGACCGTACATTGACATCATGTACAACAACCCCCCAGCTCGGCAAGCGCACTTCCGATCCCTTCCACAGGTGCTTCACCCACGTAGTTCGGTGGCATCGCATGATTTCTGCTTCCTTCGCGGTACGAAGACTGAGCGAGACATCCCCCGACTTCAATTGTCTGGCTGCGACAAACTTGGCTGATGCCACTGTCACTCCATACGTGGCTTTTGCTGCTCTCACACGTGCCCTCTCAGCTAGCTTCGTGATCTCGGCAGGGGTCTGTGTACGGAAGTGTTTAATACCGTCGGAATCACCCAGTTTCACGACGATCTGGCGGTCCTGGATGAGATCGGAAGGCGATGCGGGGTTAGTCGACGTCGACCCATGACTAGATAAAAAGTGCGTCGGTGGTGGCGCGCTTTTGACAGCGTCGACATACGATCGGATCCGATTTGATCCATTGACATTGGCATTAACATTCGAAGAAGCAATTCTCACCGCATGAATGTCTTGTTTAATTTGGCTGGTCTCCTGGCGCAGCTGTTCAAATTGCTGCTTCCAGTCCTGGCCAATTGGGTTCTTAATCAGGTCTGTGGTGAGTTCCTGGATGGATTTGAGATAGTCTAATACTGGTCTCGGGACTTTAACAGAGTTGTTACTGCTGATATGATTCAGCAACTGGCGTACGTCGTAGTTGGCATCCAATATGCGCTCGTTGATGTTGGCTGCAGAATTTTCGCGGCCCCCTGAAAGGGGCGGCCACTGGCTCCCTGGCGCCACCATACCTTCCACCAATATATAATTGGTATCAGGAGATGGAGCCGGAAGTTACAATTAACTTGCAATTAAAATGAGGACCGTAGCCCGCGGCGTTGTGGTGCAATTTCAAAAATTAGATTCGCGCAAAGATATGTGTTTTCTGTCTAGGGGTTGTTATTAGTACTCGTCTTCGTCGAAAGAAAGCATTTGTGTTTCATGGTGACATACCCAACAAGCATTCCAAGCTCCAGCACACAAAGCAATGCTCCTTCGAGCGCTCCTCCGGCTAGGGACGTCTGCAAATCTTCCAGGTTTTCATTCCAGGCCATGATGGATTGAGGAGGAGGGAAGGCATCTTGCATGTGTCGGGGCATAGCAAGTATTTCCTTCTTCAATCCAAAAGTACATTCTTTCAAAAAGGTGGCTAACAATGATAGCCTGCTTTCACGACTCCATCGTTACAAAGACTCAAAAAGGTCTGAGAGCCTGCCATGAGGAAAAGTATGACTGAACAAAAGAAAACGAGATAAGACCACTTCTTCAGAAGATGTAGATGGGGTGTACATTTTTCTCAAAACCATGAGATAAAATGCCTGGAACGATCAATATAGTGAGATGTAGCATGTTTTAGATATTTAGCTCTATATTATGTAGACAAACATATTACACGTGGCGTGTCACTGAGATCTCACGCTGGCCTGTGCCCTCCTCACGGCTCTACAGCTGGGCACCTACCTCTGTGATGTTACATTAAGCCCGGGGTCCGACATGAACATGGGATTCTAGAACCGATAACAGTCGGAGAATTTCGTCCACGGCCTGCGAAGTTGTCGGGGTAATATCATAGCTTATCATGGCTAAACTCTTCTTGTCCTAAGTGGAGCTAACTGGCATTAAGCTGAAGTGACTCTGCCGCTAGGCTAGATTGAATACGAAGGGTTTATTCTGGCGTTAATTGCAGCTGGTTCCACTTTTTTTTCAATGACCTTAATTGTTCGCACATGCTTGTGATATATTTCTCCGAGGGGTCTAGCTAGCCCAAATTGACAATACAGGCAGAGCCTTTCAATTTACCTTCGAAGCACAAACCACTTCTTCTCTGGGCCCCCCTACCGCCGTGAAGCCCAGTTCTCCCTGCTCAGCTAGTTTGTACAGGACTTGTGTTATGAACGGCCCCACCATCATTTCTAGTGCTGTTCCGTAGAGACGGGATGTGACTTCCCGAGCTGTCAACAATGCCCTCTCCTTCGAGCTACCCCGACCCTTCTGATCACAGAAGCCACCGCTATCTCTTCTCAGGCTAAAGTGTTCCCCAACGTCCCCAGGGTCTGGAGTCAGGAGCAAGTGCAGGCCTGGCAGAAGATCGTCCACGCCGTCCACGCCAAGGGGTCCTACATCTGGCTTCAGCTCTGGGCTACCGGGCGCTCTGCAGAGGTGGAAATATGAGTTTTGATATCTAGCGGAACAATAGCCTATGGATATAATTTAATAAACCTAGGGATATAGGGACAATTTAGCGATTTGCTTCTCTGTTCCTAGGGCTGAAACGAACTGGTCGAAATTAAGCAATTTATGGCTTAACGAGATTCTATGCGTGGCAGCACTGCCCGCTGAATTACATTATTGCTATGCTCCCCGAAATCCACAACATTGGCCTAGATATTTCGAAGTTGGATCAGGCTTGGTACATATCTTGCTCGTGACAAAGTAAAGTTGGAGTGATGAAAATCGAGGCGAAAAGAAGGCTACCTATAGGAAATGTACCTTTTGCTATACGGGCTGAATATCCGCCCTGAGTGCCCTGAATAGAGCGGCGAGCCGCCTACGCCCGATCTGTGGGCGCTAGGTGACCACCACCTTACACATGCTGTTGTATGTTTTTGATTTTTTTCCATCAAGAATAAATAGTTGGTCGCATATGCGGCCTTGTCACGTCTTGTCTTGTTGGTGTCAAAAGCTTCATTTTTGGACTTGGCGAGAGAGAGAGAGAGAGAGAGAGCTGTAAACCGCCTAGAAAAATGGAGATGCAGGAATTTCACGGAATTGTCCACCCCAGAACACCATAACTAGTGATATAAATTACAATATCATATCATATTTTAGTCTTATCAGTCTGATAATAATACAACGCCTTTGTAAACCTAAAACTATCCTTGGGCCAATAACAGATCGGTGCGGGGCTACACCATGCGACTTTTTAACGCCTCCTGGGGCCAGACCGCTGGGAGGTCAGTTTAGACTTCGAAACATGACATCCACAACATTTATTTCTATTATGAGATGATCCTATACTTTATTGTCGTGCTCCAATCAATCATCTTTATTAGGCTTACCCTCTTCCTTTTGTAGGGAGCTTCTTGAATTAAGCAAAAGTTCTGTGAAATGTCTTCGCTCAGCAAATTCACATTTTCAATCCCCTTTCCTCGAACCTCATCAGCACAAGGCTTCGATAAAAATGGCGGATAGCTCTAGATTTATTTACATGCCTGCGAGCGCCCTGGCTTCACGGAGACTAATTGAACAATCTTCGTAACCAACAACGCCAGCTCAATCTCCCAACGACCCAACTCCTCCTTGCGGAGAAGCGGTGTACAAAAGGTCACTCGACGCGGAAGAAATCAAAACCGTAGATTTGATTCTTCAAAAGGAGCAAAATTCAGATACCAAACATTTCGAGCCTCCCGGCAGGAACGTCAGCATTACTGAGCGAAATGAGAAGAGAAAAAGCAACAAATCTGTTTACAGTGAGGGATTGGAAGAGGGAAAGAGGAGCGTCGAAGAAGAGTTGGAAGCTTCAAAAGTTAAGCATTATACCTAAACTCGTCAAAACTTCATGACTAATAGGACATCGTAGACCGCAGTCAACGAAGATAATGCCTAATTGCACACAAGTCCAATCGAAGAATAAGGGCAACTGCTAAAACCATTCTGCAATATAGGCATGCTGTCGTGTTTATTACTAGTAGTTCAATATGTTAGTATGCAAGAGAGGTTGGATGGCTCGATATTCCGGTTCTGAAAACAAACTTTCAGATTGTAACTTGAGACGAAATTCACAGATTCGTTTGTCATTGATAAAACCTTCTAGCCCGGTATCTTTCCATTACTGGAAGACACGATTGACGACGCAGAATATAGACCCATTTCTATCCATAGCAAGGCCAATATCGAATTCCCTCTCTTTAGGGTTTCGCATCCCCTGCACAGATCTCTGACTGGGAAATTAGCTCACGGGCCTCCTGGATTGAGCGGATGAGATTCCCTTTACCGGCTGATTGCATTGTGAATTGACACATATGGAAAACCTGACTTTTTGTTGAATTGCGGGGACTCAAGTGGGTTCTAAAGGTTGCTTCAGAAGACTTGACCAAGGAGTCTGGGCGTTCTCATCGAAGTTTGCTATCGTTTTTGATTCGGAGTATCTAACCCCCCTTATGGGGGATGTCTGCGTGCGAAGCTCAACATCTAACTTTGAACGCACCCAATCGGGATCAAACTGCACTAACCTAGGTGCTGCATTTTGCAGGCTATATCCAACATCCATCTCCATTCCACCCAACAATTATATAGATAAGACTGTGCGGGATCTTTTGTGATATGACTGCCGGCCTTCTACTTCCAGTTACTAGCTTAAGCTGGCAAAATATTATCCAAGTCAATCTTTTGATCTTCTATTCAAACCAATAACTTACATCAAGTTATCCCATATGTCTGACGCTCATCCCGCGTTTTCTTATAAGGCAGCTTCTACACATGTTTTACGTTCCATGTCCATGAAACTAAGTGCAAGAATCAGGTTTCCGCGGGAAACATATATTTCATAGCCAAACAGCACAAAACTAATTTGGACAACCCGATAAGGAAATCCGTGGCTGGTAGACTGCCTAGCTTCCCAGTCAACATTTCATTCCCTTTTTGATCGAAATCTAAGATTGCTGAGTATTCAAGGAAGTAGATCAACCAAAATCTTTAAATGACTGCCCTGACCACTAACTTTCAGGTTATCAAACTCTGCAGCAATTATAGAGTAAAATCATTTTCAACGTCGTAAGTTATGCCACTTTTTGAACACATTGTCCGGGTCGTACTTTGTTTTCAGGAGCTGCAGCCGGGGTAGGTTTGCCCCAAAAATATCAACCAAAGGGACTTCTTTCCCTGTATTTTGTCAGCTGTTTTGCATATTGGCACAGCATGATTAGCGAGGAACAATCTAACGTACCAGCGAAATTGGCGTACGCTATTCCGATACCTTGGTGATGTATCTCATAATCTCGTATTCCTCCGCATGCTTCAACCTCCGCCAGAAAGCTGTGCAGGAGATTGTGCATCTTTGTGTCTTGATCTGGGTCATGCCAGCAGAAAACAACACACGCGTTGTAGGCATGTCCCCGATTGGCACAAGCAGTGGACTCCACGGGGACTTTGGCAACCTCAGCATATGGCAGCAGCTGAAATGTCAATGTAGATTCCTCAACGCGTCGATTCGTCTTCAGTATTGTTTCAAATTGCTCAAAAAGGTGATGGACAGCTTGGAACTCCAGAGGCAAGGTAATGTCAATACCACCCATACTTTTGCGGCCAGTTGAAGAAGTGAATCGTTCAATAATGGAGTTGAGTCGCTCATAAGGCATCATATCGGTTTCATTCACAATTGGCCCAAGACACAGCAGCGGCGAAAAAAGTCTTTCTGCTTCCTTAATGGACCCATTATAGAAGAGTATAGCAAATATTGCCGCTTTGCGCTCCGGCGGGACACACGTGAATCCTAAATATAACCCCTGGTCCTTGGTTGAGCTTGTCCCGAAGGTATTGGCAAACTCGACGACCTCTCTCAATCTTTCGGCAGAAAATATCAGTAGTCCTCCATAGACTGGGGATCTTTGATCATGCGCTTGGAAAACAAGCTCAGTGACCACTCCAAAGGCCGGTCCTGCACCTCGAATGGCCCAAAACAAGTCAGGTTTTTCGGTCTCAGATGCAACAATAACGTTGCCGTCTGCCAGGACAATCCTCGCACTTAGGAGATTGTCAATAGCGAGACCATATCTACCAGTCAGCCAGCCGTATCCTCCCCCTAACGTAGTTCCAGCAACCCCGCTTAAATCAAGGGTGCCTCCGACAATAGCAAGTGAATATCGTGCTGTAGCTGTGTCAACATCTCGCCAGGTTGCACCTCCTTGGACTGCCACAGTCTTGCTAGCTGGATCAACAACCACTTTGCACATTTTGGATAAGTCGATGACGATTCCGCCATGCGTTGAGGATGCCGCATCTGTGGAGTGACCTCCAACTTTGATCACAAAAGGGACATGGGTTCTCCTTGCGAAACTGACAATAGTCGCGACTTGGTGGGTGGATGTAGGACGTACAACGGCTCCCTGCAAATTTGAAGTTAGATATTGGAAAGAGCGAGTTTGCATCGAGATGGGAAAGTAACGACTAATATATTCATTTCGGGGGAGCGATGATGTGTCTTTGAAAACAGAAATACCTACAGCCTCCTTTTCACAGGTATCACTCCATCTCCTGAGACTCTCAGCATAACCTTCCGAACCAAAGGTGAGAACCTCTGCATTATCCCCAAGCTGCCTTTTCAATTCGACCGCTTTGTCGTGAGACAAGAAAGGCATGTTGACGCAATATATTCAGACAACAAATACTTCCCAATGTGCACATGCAGATTTGGCAGTTAATATATGATTTAATGAGAAATATGAAATATGCGCACTATTCAGTTGTGGGTGAGCCAGTGGATCTGTGTGGAGAATTGAATTGTATAATTGGATGCGGCTAGAATTGTTCATGTGGTCCGTCTTTTTCGAAGTCATTTCTGCGGTCGCCCATTATCTTAACAGCTTGGACTGGTCCGATGACGACAGCATATTATAGATCTGGAACTCTAGTCCCGCGTGACCGCACCCATATCACTATACGCGTTTTGGCAAAATCGAGTGATATCTTTTTTTATATATATTTATTATTATTGAGGCAGCACAATCTATGTGTAAATTAAAGGGGAAAAAAACCGTCTGCGATCTGTCTCATCGTGGACAACCCGAAACAAGTTATGGAAATATCAACCTCCCCAACCAACTGAACACCAAAATTGAGAATTTTGAGGATGGAAGAAAGCACTGGAGGTGGCCCAGATAATATAGCTATCACTACTTCGGGCTCAAGTAGTGCGGGTGTAACTCTGGGGAAAATTACCTCTTCAACCTTACAACTTAACTTGTATTAGAATTGGAAAGACCAGATGGTCTGTGGTTAGCAGCTATGGCATCACTACTCTTATATCTTGGAAATTTGGGGATCATATTCGAAGGACCAGAGAGTAAATGGTATTATATAAGAAAATTACGCATAGACGGCTAGTAACAGGTTCGATGGTCTTCTTGACGGAGAGCAACCGGTCAATTACCCTCAGTGTTCCTTATCAACCGGTTTTAGCAGGCCAATTAAACAATACGAATATTATTTGTACTTGTGCCTTGAGTCCACTCGAGGCCACCTACGCAACGAAGCCAATCCACGAACACTGCGGAGAAACATTTATTGTAAGTTTCCCCTATCTTCATTTCCTATTCAGTTCACTTTGCCGATTTTATAGATCCCACGTGGAATACCATTAGGGAATTCTCCGTTTCAGTCACGTTTTGAATGAATCGACCGAATGTGATTACATTACACACCAGCAACATTGCATGTGTTGGTCGGCTATAGAGTACAATGTTCGTGGTGCCTAGAATCCTGTAGCCGAGTTGATGAGGTTACCACGGAAACTTGAGAATATCAAGGAATGCCCGCAGCTTGGAATCTTCGATTTGATAATTTGACATCTATTGACTAGGAATGAAAAACGACAGATATATCAGCTCATTGTCTCGAACATGTCGTCTCAGAACTTGCCACCACTGCCGCATAGTTAACTCTGTTGATATCGAGTGGGAGAAACAATGGATGGCCTACTATTAAATCTATATGTAGACCTGTCTGTTCAAATGGGAACACTTTATAGGTTTCTTGAAAGGATAATTGGCAGGTTCTATTCCACGGGGGTTCCTATTGATCGTAGATATCGATTCAGACAATCCTAAAACAATTAATATTTGCATAACAATGATACATATTATGATCGGTCGGAATTTTGACACCTAGGTACACAAAAATAGCAACCCTGACAAATTTGAATAATCGACGGTAAACTTTTGTTCTCTTATAGTTTCGGGTGATGCTTGCGATCAGAAAGAAATTCCAACCTTCAAGATACCCTCTTTGGGCGCCGTTTGGAATGCTTGATAAGCCTTCGAAATATCTGGGAATCGATAGCCTGGATGTTGTAGTTACATTAGTATGTCGCTCACAGAGTATATGAATACAAGAACATATCGAACTTACGGTGCGTGAGTAATGTTGATTGGAAGCGGCCCGCTTGGAAAAGCCGGAGAAGTGTCGGAATAGTGACTGTATCGACCAACCGAGTTTTGATGCCTTATGCAGCTGCTTAATATATAGTCATACTTGTAAGTACTTGTAGGTTAAACTTACTAATATTGTGATCCCAGAGGTGGTCAAGGTCAAGAGTTGCCTTTTGGCCGTGAACCCCAATATTTGCCAAAGAACCCCCTGGGGCCACTAATTTCTGGCATAGATCGAAGCTTGCTGGTGTTCCAACAGCTTCCATCACACAATCGAAGCCTTTTCCGTCGACAACCGAGTCGAGCTCTTCCATAGCGTTGAATGCGTCAACGTTAATAACCTGGTCGGCACCAAGCTTTCTGGCTAGCTCGAGCCTTTTATTTTCCTTGTCAAGCACAACGATAGGATAAGGCGAATATAACTTAGATGTGAGCATTGCAGCAATACCAACCGGGCCAGCTCCCACAATCGCCACGGATTTACCAGGCTGAACATTAGCATTCAGCGTCCCGCATTCCATTCCCGTCGGAAATGCGTCAGAAAAACCGGCCATCTCTGCAGGATCAATATTCCCGGGTAGCTTGTATAGTGAATTAATCGCATGCGGAATCCGCACGTACTCCGCCTGAGTGCCATCAATCACGTTTCCAAGTACCCATCCTCCAGTCGCGCAATGTGAGTTCATACCCTTCCTACATGGTGCACACGTACCACAAGAAGTAATACACGAGATTAGAACATTATCGCCAACGAAGAAATCGGTGACGGCTGAACCCACTGAGACAATAGCCCCAACCCCTTCATGGCCAAGAATCCGACCTGGCTCGACTGTTGGCACATCGCCTTTAAGAATATGCAGGTCCGTCCCACATATACTTGTGTGGTTCATCTGAACAATCGCATCTGTGGGTGATTGAATTTCAGGCAAGACGCAGTCTCGGACTTCATATTGATTGGCACCCGTATAGACGAGGCCTTTCATCTCTGTCGGGAGCTGAAGCCACGATAAAATCAGCTATGTTTAAGTGATCATAGTCGGGGAGCGCACCTCCATATGATTTGAATGATTTTGAGAGAAGTCAGAGAAAAGGCGAGCTCGTGTTATAGAGATAGGGAGTGCTTGTATGTTTGGAGTGGATTTTTTGTAGATTCTTCCAACGCTGGATAATGTGTTAGGGGGTATGTGCCGAAGGTAGCACCGATTGAATAGACTTCCTAGCATCATGGTCATGAACACTATATCAAGCAGAATATATGCCAGGTGAAAGTGCAGCTTGACAGACCTTATACTTTCTGGAGGTGACATGTAATGCTGTAAATAACTACGACATCTAACCATGTATCTATTCGATCAAATGATTCCATACTACAACTACCGACGTCCCTAAACTGTCTCAGTGTCCTTTTCCAATAGTAAAGTCAAGGACCCAATGAGAGATGTTAGAATGTCTTCTCGCTATTCTTATTAATCTCCATTTATAGAAGCTTAATTGAAACTTGATAAATATTTATTATAGTAAATATTTGAAAACGCCCAATACGCAGGTTTCCAGGACAAGAACACGAGCCTTTCAAGACTATCATTTTGGCCTCCTTGCCTCCTTTATTATTACATCATAACTAGGTAAGAAGATCCGCCACAATGACGGTGAGACTTATATGAATGGTTTCTAAATATATTGCACATGAACTATATTCGTGAGCTTTCGGAGGTAGGACACCGTGAGGAACCGTAGGAAACTATATTGAAGTCAGAGTAAACTAATTTGGTCAAAAACACTTACGTCCTATAGATCACCCGACAATGCTTGATTCGTACCTCATGTTCGAAACTCAATTTCGTTCCACGTTTTTTATCGCTTGCGAAGACAGACTGGTCCAAGTCTGCGAATATTTTGTTAACGTCACCAACGTATCGATTCAGTTGCGACCTCAAAATAAATGACCTCACCACCTAGGGTACGGCTGAGCATATATTCATTGGTTAGTTACATTGGCTCTCAAGAACGAAAATATGCGATGTTGCGACATAATCTCAGATATACCTTGCGGGGCAGTCTACCTGCAGCTACTTCGTCGACGAAACGACAAACACAAAAAGTCAGCCATATCCCCTACACGCAGTTAGGACATACTTCGAAAAACATGTCTATTATCCCTCAGTTTCACCGCGGGCCACTTTCAGCGGTCGGCCACCTCTGGGATGACTATGATCAGTTATTTTCCAACAGACATAGGGCTAGTCTCCGAATGTTCGCGCCATCATTTGACATCCGCGAGACGGAAGAGGCATACCACCTAAGTGGGGATCTCCCAGGTGTCCAATCCAAAGATCTGGATATTGAATTCCAAGATTCACATTCCCTCAACATCAAGGGCCATACCGAGCGCGATTCAACTTCTGGTGAAGGCTCTTGGTGGGTGTCTGAACGCTCTGTTGGTGACTTCCAACGAACTTTCAATTTCCCATCTGCTGTCAACCAGGAAAAGGTTCACGCGAGCTTGAAGGATGGGGTCCTTTCCATGACAGTGCCAAAGACTGAGTCGACCGCTACTACTACGAAGATCACTGTTGAGACAGAACCTGTGGAAAGCTCTTCGTGATAAAATCTCTAGCTTCTCGATCTTATCTTTACTCAAATTGGGATGTAACTTTCAAGGTGGAATGCTGTATCGTAGTGCTTAGTGTTTGGACAAACGGTTCTATACTCATTCCATGGGATTATTATATAAATTGAAAGGAAACATTTCTGAATTAAAAAAAGACGATATCACATTACGATCCACATACTTAGATAACATAATTCCTAGAAACCAAACTCTGATATCCACAAATCAAAACAATACAGAAAGCCACAGTCAGTCCTGAATAGCTTGATATTATTGACACCAGTTCTCACACCAACAAACCGAAGACCTCCAAAAGTCTGTTTTTCTTAATTTTCATAGGACTATGTCCCAGATTCAATAGACCGCACACTGCCATTTGCGCTCCTCGGACACTGTACTCAAAGCTGTACGTGGTGTCATCAGGGATTTCAACAAATTGGCCGATAAAAGCGATGTTAGTAGTCTCATGGGGGAGCACGCGTGGACGATCATTCTTTGTCCGAGATAGAAGCATGGATGTCCCAAGTGGCATGATAGATGGAATTGTGATCGACGACGGAAGAAGTGAGTCGACGGGGAACCCCAAAAGGGACAGAAGCTCGAAGAAAACTTCTTCACCAGAACATAATTCCATCGGCTTTTGAACGAATTTTCCTTTTCTTTCCGGGTGTAGGCCGTAGCCCCAAATAACATGTACATTCTGGGGTTGAGTCGCAAATACTGGCTGATGAGGGACGCTGATGTTCAATCCCCATGGACTTTCTAACACGGTGAGCAGAGCCCCCGTGCCTGGCTTATCATGAGTGAGTCCGGCATAATGCTTCATAAAGTCCGAATCATGCAAGGTAGTGGTGAATGTCTCAATTTTCGACTCATCCAGGCGCGATAAGAAGTTTAGAGGATTGCCAAACTTAGAAGATTCATTGGAAAGCTTTTGCCACAATCCCCACTCTCCACGCTTCAATGTATCTGAGGATACAGAATATGGCTGAGGGGGTTCGGCGTTGGATCCGGTCTTCTTACCGGTAGACAGCGCTCCTAGTGTCACGATGACTATGTCAATGGGATCCACTGTGATAAGCATTTCCTTTTCGTTCTCCAACATCACGATCTCTGAAATGGTCGTTGGGTCACTGGCTGGGTACAATTTGAGGTCAGTGACCATCGCATGGAACCGAAAGTCAACTCCTTGATTCTTCAAATAAGTGGTGACGGGCATTATCAATGATTCGTAAAGACTGAAAGGTGTTTTGTCCAACTCTCGCACATCGTTATGGACGTTCATTTCAGGAAGGTATTTGACCAACAATCTGTGAAACTCCGTTGCGCTATGCCACGGTTGAAGCTTGAAGCTACAGAGGAATCAGTTTCCATAAATTAAACCGAAGAAAGTGATTTTCTTACGTTGTTGACCACAGAGCCCAGAATTCTGACTCAAAGAAAGTTTCTTCGAAAATGTCGGAAATCTTCTTTGAATCAAACTTCCTCTCGCCCTCCATAAGGAATGTAATTAACTCCAAACGCAGCTTTCCACCGATTCGCAAATCATGCATGTCAACGTTGCGCAGTCCTTCTTTATTTTTCCTAATAACACGTGTGTGTGCTTTGTGAAGCGGCTTTGAATGCAACTCCTGTTCTTTGATATCGTCCCAGACAGTCTGGTCCGGATTTCCAGGACTGGGAATCATCGTAAGAAGGTCCTGCACACAGTCGCCGTGAAAGTACGGCTGTGCGCCTGTTTGTAGCATATATCCTTCTTGCGAATTACCTGACGTTTTCATGGCCCCGCCGGAGCCATGGTGGACGTCGAGGATGTGGACTTGTTGAGCCGGAACCTTTGCCTGATTAATCAAATGTACCGCAGCCGCAAGCGATGCGACACCGCTTCCGATCAGCCATGCCTGCACGTCCTTGGGGTCTCGAGTAGGTGCCATTGCTTGTTGTATTATACAATATGTTTTCTGGTTTAAGTCACTAGTACAACACTTTTGTACAGGATTGGGAATATATATTCAACGAGGGGGTCATTAGTAATCCGTATCCGAGAACATTTAAAGAAACGATGAATCATTTTGTCACCTGTTATCTTGTCATTAAAGAACCTTTAAGGTTTAGGTGAGGAGTTTTGCTTTTTGGGCTTTTGTTCACAAGAGTAGAGATGCACACATGCGGGGGCTAGACCAGTTGACTGCATGTGGCCAGAGCTGTCGGAAGCGAATTTAGACTTTGAAGTATCCGATGTCAACCACCCATGGATCATTGTTTTTATCAGATGATCCACTACGGAGTATAACCTGTGTGGGGTAAAATGACCCAAAAAAAAACAACTGCCTTGTTCTCCAGTAACAAATTGTCGGGGGCCTTTTGGTCAATATCAAATCCGAAAATTGTGTCCGCCACTCGCAAGACATTAGAGAAAGACGAAAAAATCTTTAGTGGAAAATCTGGGACTGTAATTTGTTAAAATTAGAATCAAGCACCCCAATGTTGGTCTACAGAGTCGGAAATTGCAGAAACACCCTTCCTCAAGAGTTCAAGTATCGAGCTACTTCGTCTTCTTGACCATCTCTCAAACAAGATTTATTCAGGGGCTGCTCTTCTCACCAGTCTGGTTAATACAAATAGAGTGTTTAGAGGAAACTCTTACCTCAAGAGAGTAACCTGCAATCAAGCCATGCAGAGTACCTCCCCGGCATTTGTCTGAAACTTTAACACCGATTCTCAACACTTAACCCTTTCTGATCAAATGTTTCTGCTAATGCTGCCAACCGAATTAGTTCTGTTACTGTTATTATTCTTGGAAGAACAAAAGGATATAAGCTCATTGTGTCGAACATGTGTCCGCCTTCATATTATCCTGAACCCATGGCTCTATAGAAACAATGCTCGAAATTTGGGGAGCTCCGCTCTTTTATGGGCCGCTAAAAATGGGAATGAGGCTACTGCTCGGCATTCGATCCGAGGAGGAGCTAATATCAGTATAACAGATGATATTGGCCTCACACCTCTTTCTTACGCTGCAGCAAAAGGACACGAGTCCATCGTGCACTTATTGATGGAGACAGAAAAGGTAAATGCGGACTCCATAGACCTTAGGGGCTGGACGCCATTGTTCTGGGCTGCAGAGAATGGGCAGGAGGCAGTGGTGAAGTTGCTACTTCAGACGAAAAATGTTAGTATAGACTCGAAGGACTTTTGGGGACGGACCCCACTTTCCATTTCGGCGCAGAATAGCCACGAAAAAGTGGTGAAGCTGTTACTTGATACAGGGAAGGTTGATTTGGACTCAAGAGGGTATTGGGGCCGAACTGCATTATCCTACGCTGCAGCAAAGGGATACTCAGCCGTGGTGCAGCTATTGATTGAGACAGAGAAAGTAAACTTGAATTCGATGGATCATAGGGGCTGGACACCATTGTTCTGGGCTGCAGATACTGGGCAAGAGCCAATTGTGAAATTGCTACTCGAGACAGGAAGAGTTGATATGAACTCGAAGGACTTTTGGGGTCGGACACCACTATTGATCGCTAAGCAAAACGGGCACAACTCTGTGGCAGAGCTTTTACTTTAAGCTTCAGACAGAATATGGAAGGTTGCTCAATTTTCTAGCGAAAGGTTTGATAAATTTCATGCAACTGGAATAAACGGCAAAGCTTGAAGAAGCGAGACACTGTCGTACAATTCAAATTGCGCTTATCGTAGCCCATTCTGCGCAAAACAACAATCTCGAAAAATCCATAAATGTTTGAGCATCTTCACTTTTTCAGGTGGTTTAACTAAACTTCTGTAAATCGAAGCTTTCTATACCCTAAAAGCGCCCGATTCTCCACTTTTGAGCTGCTCTTCTACCTCATGCCGTAGCTGAACCTACATGCAAGGCTTGCCTCATGTTAAATAGTCTAACGTTGTCCTACTTGATGTTCACATGTTTATTTGTAGCATTCAACCCACACTTCTCGTGTTACCCGTTTGACTCGTATTGTGGCCGCACCTGGATGCAACCATGAGGTCACTACTGGAAGATAAAGCAATAGCATCTGTAACCATTTCGGGTTTTTAGAATTGCATTGTGTTTTCGGGGAAGACGGGTCTGGATTTTTATAGTTGCGTCATTCTGGTAAAGACCCCAACGTTGAAGCCATGTATGAAATCATTATTCGTACTCAAAAGTCTTTCCTCGATTTCCCGCGGTCCAGTCTTCTCGTTCTTAGTGCCACAATCTGAGTTGGGTGCCACCTAGGCAATGCGTAGGTAAATACGAACCCAAAATTCCGATGAAATCATCGTCAAATTTTGGAACGAGGATTCAACCCACCGGCGCAACTATGGAATCAGGCACACGAACTAAGGAAGTCAAGATCACTAACCTCGGTCTTTTACATTCTCTAACAACATTCAGGTGCGCGTAAAATCTACCATTTTTCCACGGGAACAGTGTGCTCGCCGAAATTCCACATAATGCTCTCTGAAAACACAAAAACGATTACTCGGATTGCAATAATCGGTGTGGGTCAGGTTGGTGCCGCTGCTGCTTACGCACTAATTCTGGGCTCTATTGCTAGTAAATTGCTGTTGGTAGATATCAAGGTCGACTTGAGAGACTGCCAGGTTTGTGATGTTCCCGATGTGAGCCACAGTTGCAACAGCGGAACACGCGTTCGAGAGGCTACACACCATGAAGCACGCTAATGCGATATCGTGGTTATCACGGCCGGCTCAAAGCCCTACAGAGGTATGATATACACTATGAGGAAGGCAGGCCCATTTTGATGGTTTTTCAGGCGAAACTAGCATTCGGCACATGTACCAAAAGATCCACATGTACCAAAAGATCACCATTATCGAGAGCATTACCAACGCAATGAAGCCATTCAGACCCGATACAATTCTACTAATCGCGGCTAACCCCGTCGATGTTATTACTTCCTTCAGTCAAGAGCACTCTGGGCTACCAGCGTCACAGGTGCTGGGCTCTGGAACTTTTCTCGATTCAATTAGGCTTCGCGGAATGCTAGCAGATCAAGCCGGGGTACGTGATTATGGCTTTCCCGGCTGCCCTTGTGGCGTGGCTGATTCAAAACTAGGTCGCCGCAAATGCAATGGATGTCCAAGTACTGGGCGTGCACGGGGAGTAACATGTTGTTGCATGGTCGACTGCAACTCTTTGCGGAGTCCCGATCGACAAAGCGCTTTCGAAGAGCAATTTCAACCCGAAAAGCTCTCCAAGGAATGCAAGATTATGCAAGCGAAAGGAGCAATATCCTTCGGAATCGGCTCGGTCATATCCAAACTATGCTCTTCGATCTTATTCGACAAACACAATGTCTACCCTATTAGCCATTTCCAACCAAAGTGTGATTGCTGTTTTAGCTTGCCCGTTGTCCTTGGAAGAAGCGGAATCATTCGGACTGTTGAAATATCAACAAACAGTGAGGAGAGCGCCGACATGGAAGAATCGGTGAAGACACTAAGCGCTACAGTAAAGAGACTGCGTGAGCATTATTAAACGTGAAATCAAGTTCAGCATCGTAGCCACGTTTGGGACCGACAATGCTCGAGTGAAATCCTGTGATTGCCATATGACAGGATCTTGAAAGCATAGATATATTAGCTGCTCCTCTCTCTCTCTCCCTGACATATTTCCCCCTCTCTGTCTGATTTTCTCATTAGCTTCAGAAACTGCATATTTTTCTCGTTTATCGATATTGGAAGAATAATTTCCGCTACTCTCCCAGACGGTCCCGGGATCAGCTGAGTCGTATGCGGTTACGAGTGGCAATATGCCAACACGTCACCCAAAATATTACACAATGATGTCAACTAATATTTGTTATGCAGGTGTCACCCGGAAATTTCATAGCTGACATCGGACATTGGAATCAAGGCCAACAGGCATCCTGATCACGAAGTGTGATCTCATCTTTCGTGTACTTGATAGGATAAGGTTTGGATAAGGTTTCTTATTGCATCAAACATTATAGTCAAAATACACGCTGCATAACTGACTCCAACTAACTCAACAAAGCCCAGGCAACAGGCCAACTGGATCTCGAACGCGCTTTTGAAGAAATCACTGGTGAATCGGCATTAAAGGATATAACTATTAACCGAAGATTCGCAACGTTCAATATGCCCCCGGAAAACCAACCTGAACTTGATTCCATCTATCATGTTATGCTCATGACCTCCGAGAAGAAGGGATTAGGTGGGAAAAGGGATAAAATACGCATTATAGGTACCTATACATCTGTGAGGAAAGCCAAGGAGGCGGCGCATCGCTGTCTCTTTGATAGTGGATATGAGCGTGAATAGTTCTCAACCTTTGAGACGAACCCGGAGGTCTTGGAAGGATTCGGTGCATATGAGGGTACGGGGCTTACTGTGTATGCCATTGCAACGGATGGCACGGTGTTCCGGGTCCGCATTTCCACGTCCCCAAACGTGCTTCACTTGACGACCGATAACGAGGATGGCCGGATTTCGACACCTCTATTCTATGTCGTCCAAACAAATGTGCCTTACTGCAGTCATGAGCGGAAGCCTTCCCACGACACCAACGTGGAAGGAGTATTCCAAAGTTATGCAGAAGCCAGAAAATTTGCGAGCACTGTGCTGCTATCAGAGGAGGAAGGAATAACAGCCTCGAGCTACGAAGATTACTGTGAGGCTAGTCCGGATGAAAGTGACTGTGAATATGGCGATAATGTCATTGTGCATGCAGTTGGCAAAAACGACGAGAATTACTTTGTCAGTGTCATTGTGTGCCAGGAGTTAGAGAGTGTCAAGCTGGCTGAGGCTTCTTTCAGATTGGGTTAGTTGTCTTCGGGGAAGCTGTTGCTATTTCGAATTGAGCAATAGTGGACAGCAATAATGGACAATTGGGAGTGAACTCAAGTTGGTCCTCGCTTTATGCAAGAGCGATCCACACCAAACAGCGTATGCCCCGGATACCCAATAACTCTTCTTTGTTTAGTATGAAGAGAAGGGTCAGTGTGTCAGTATAAGTTACCTGTGAGTTATCCATGGTTTTGAATTTATCAGATAAAAGGATTTTACTTATCGTGGTTTCTATAAGTTAAACCTGCACCAGTTCTTCCAGCTTCAGTCTGCAATCCACCAGCAATTACTAGTTCTGTCAAGGGGGCCACTATTTTCAATACATGAATTACCGCATGTTGCTGAGAGGAGGATTGTTCGCCTTTAGTCATATGCAATACATGGACATCATACAAAATATTGATCTCAGGGCATACAGAGATACTATTGACCCGCAAATCTTCTGGATTCCTCAACGGGAGCCTGTTGACATCATTGGGGGGGGGGGGGGGGGGGTTGGCCACTAATAACGTGTTGCAGAATGTCAGCTGATTCTAGGGCCGTCGGTCAGCCAGCATTCCACAGATATGTATGTCCCACACTAGAGGATGGCCTTATGTCCGTCCGGCTGTGTGCATTGTAAGGTTTCTTAGTAGCGATCCATGTTTATAACAAACATGATGAGACATCTGTCGGGTCCGAAGAACATTTGTCGATAGGAGCAACCGTGGTTTTAGGACGCCATTGTTCTAGGCTTTGTTCGGTTTTCATAGTTTATAGATGACAGAAACTGTGTGAGGCGTCGGGTTGATGCCTCATGTTTCAGGTCTCAATAGGTAGTTGGATTGGGGTTTGGAGCTTCTCTCCTTTCTTCTCCTTGTCTCTCTCGATAGCTACAATACATATTGCCGCTGCCTCCTTCTTCGTCTTCGGAAGCCCAACGCACATTAAAACTATCCAAATATCAACTAAGCCGACAGCTCACGGACGATTAAACCTCCCCGAATTTGCCTCTACTTACCATGGAGGGAATTGTCGAAAGTCAAGAAGGGCCTATCAAGATTATTATCGTCGGCAGCGCGGCTGGCGGGATGTCAGCAGCCCTTCGAGCGCGACGACTGGATGAGAAAGCCTCCATCATTCTGATTGAAAAAGGTTCCTACACTAGTTACACAAACTCTGGAGTACCTTCTTCGCTAGGAGGATTGATCGAAACAGACACCTTCCTCATTCGCCAATCACCGGCGGGCTTGAAAGATCGATTCAATCTGGACGTTCGAGATCGTACCGAATTAGTCAGTATCTCGAGGGAGCAGCATTCGATTCTAGTCAGGCAGTCGGACACAGGTGATACCTATTACCTCTCGTACGATAAATTGATACTCGCTCAAGGAGCTCGTCCCATCACACCTACCGTACAGGGCATTGATGGAGCAAGTGTTTTCTCCTTCCAAACTATGTTGGGCCTGGAACAAATCAAGCGTTATATTGCCGATAATCGTTGCACATCCGCCGTGATTCTAGGCGGTGGATATCTCGCTCTAAAGGCTGTGGAGAGTCTTTACAACTTCGGGCTTCGTATGAGCATTATACACGTCCACGAGCGCATTTGTGAAGACTTCGACCCTGATATTGGGAACTTCGTGCAATCAGAACTCAGGAAAAATGGCATTCAGCTCTATTTAAACGCAAGGGTTCGCAATATTGCCCACGATACAATTGATGAAGGATGTTCCGCGATATTGGACAACGAAGCCCATGTTCCTGCCGATCTTATCGTTGTAGCTACTGGACTCACTCCTCGCATCGAAATCGCAAAAGAATCTGGCCTTGAATGCAGAACTGGAGTTGTGGTCAAGCAGTTCATGCAAAGCAGCGATCCTGATATATACGCTGTCGGTGACATAGCACAGAAAGAGGATTTTATTTCGCCTACACCACGAATGTTACCTCTCGTTGGCCCAGCTACCCAGCAGGGTCGGCTTGCAGCTGATCACATAATGAAACGCGCACTTCCTTATCGCGGTGATATCGGTACATATAGCTGCAAAGTGCCTCACCTGACCGCAGCTATCATAGGACTTTCGGTGGAGCGACTCAGGGAAATCGGCTACTATCCTCAGTCAGTGACGGTCCACGTTCCCGACCGCGCAGGCTATTATCCTTCATCTCAACAGATGACTCTGAAAGTATCTTTCCAACCAACAGGTGGACGCCTGTTAGGCGCTCAGATCATCGGCCGCTCGGGGGTAGATCAGCGCATTGATGTACTTTCCACAGCCTTCCAAGCCGGGATGTCTATTTTCGACCTAGAGCTCCTTCAATTATCATACGCGCCCCAATATGGTTCGGGAAAAGACCCAGTGAATGTCGTTGGGATGGTAGGAAGTAACTTGCTTCGAGGAGACCTCCATATTGTCTCACCTAGTGACCTGGACGGTCACTTACATGATTATCAAATCATTGATGTGCGATCTACCGAAAACTTTGCCAAAGGTCATATTCCATCAGCTCGGAATATTCCCATTGACGAACTGCGTGAAAGTCTGAGAGATATCGACAATGAGCGTCCTGTCGTTGTCTACTCTAGAGTGGGATATCATGGCTACCTTGCCTATCGGACTATGGTACAATTAGGATACAAAGTCGCTAATCTGGATGGAGGATTAAAACTATTTGTGGAAGGGGGGTTTGGAATAGGCCTCGTATCTTCCGGATCTGACTGATATCCATTTTTTGTCCTGGCTTCTACGCAATGCATTTAACGTCAAGGAGTCACATCAGATTTCTCGCAAATTCCTTCTCACGGAGCCTAGATACGAGGTTGCAAATGGTCATCAATACGTTATTTCAGATTTCAAAGTTCTCTCACAGCTAGCTTTGAACGGCATCGCCGCAGACCAGGTGGTGACGTCGGTTGTGCCTCTAGCGGATATCAGTGACGGGGGCTTTTTGAGCTGATAAATAACAAATCACAGCATGTCAATATCCTCATCCAGGCATGAAATTGGCCGCACATAGCCCAGTTAGCTTTTATTAATCAACATGATTTTCTTTGTGCATGAGTATGTCGTTCTATAAGCATATGTATCCACCCAATGGCACCAGTATTGTCCACGGCACAGGTTCTATGATCAAACAAGCATTTCCCACAGAAACCAAACTACCAGGTACCCTCAAAATCATGAGTTACAGAAGGCTCAGCTGACAGCATCTGTGTTTAGTTCAGCGGACTGAACGGCCTCTTCAAATTCGACACAACCTGCCGCATGCCGCGACACGCCCGCATGGCGCCGAGGAATGACGGACTAGGCATGCGCTACGTGGTTGAAAAGATAATCGTCCTGAACGGAGTCGCCGTCGTCGGGTTAGCGGGCGAGATATACGTCCTACCCCCGAAGACAATGGCCACCATTGGTCGATCTGCAGGCTCTGGGGGTTGCGGACGAACCAGTCGTCTCTGATGGACAGTCTCTCGCTGATTTTGAGTGTGAGGTTCCGGCGATTTTCTTTCCCACTGCTGCGACAGAGGTGTTAGGCGGAGGAGATGAGTATGTGAGATGCGAGAATCTGGAGGGCATTCGTATAGCACCAATGGATGTGCGTTCTTGAAGGAAAAGGCTTGATTTATATGGGGCAGGTCATGTCGGAAGATGTAAGGTTTTGGTTTTGGACGAGATAGTTGTGTCAATCGTTCGCCGTGGCTTGGGATATTGTAAGAGCGGGATCACTATAACCTGTTCCCCTGGTAACTAGATCAAAATAAATCATATGTCTCGCGAAGAAGGTAATGCGCTCTGGTGGATTCCTTGAAGCGCGTGGCGTGGCATGTGGAAATCTCCGCGTCGTGAATACTGTGAGATCCCTGCAAACAACCTTGGAAGCCAAATTGCATCAGGTAATCTCCTATAACACCCGTGGACGCTAACGTCGACAGGGATTAATTCGCCAGAGCCATCCCGGAGGACCCCTAGTTCCTCATATGTTTTCAGCCTGACCCCAATACTCGGTTCGGCAAATCCAGATCTAGGAGGTTGTACCAGGCCAACATGGGATCCGCCATAATGGCTGGGTTCGGCCTTCCGGAAAAGCGGCTGTGGTCAAACAGATGGATTTCCTACAACGTAGTATTTATTCACCAACCTTGGAATCACCAACAATCAAAAACAATCAAAGTAAATAAACAAAAGCAAAAAAACATACAACAGTGAGGATTCGCTGGTGGTCACCCACCCAACTACTAACTCACCGGCGTGTGGCTTAAGTACGGCTGAGCGGACGGGAAGCCCTGTTTTCCACACCCTATGGTCGTATGTATCATGTTATGCGAGTGAGAGAATTATACAATGTGAGCTGCGTGGTCCACGGGTGTAGGTGCTGGATGAGCTATTATTTTTGTGTCGAGAAATGCGGATATAAACAATATAGGAAGCTGGGTAGGAACCAGCCTCGGGCGACTGTAGTGACCATTCCAGCCGAACTAGGACATAACATTATACTTAAGATGTCATAGAACTCCAAGTTGTAGTAGGTGTTCCGTGGAAAAATACGATCAAAGTCCAGGATGGCGGCTCTGGCTCCGTACACGGTAGATATCATTATGGGAAAGGACTCAATGAGGAAAAGTACATCTCATCGTCACCGCGTGACTCCTATGGTTGAAGAGGGGCATGCATCATAACGTCAGAGGGGGTGATAAAACCATTCACAATCCATTCATCGTTCGAGCTTCCAAGACTATGCTCAATGTGATCAAAATCATGCGGTCTCCTTGTGTGCAGTGCATGGGGGTCTGAAAGATCACACGGTATGCTGGATTGCCTTAGTTGAATACTCAAGCTTTCAGATGGGCTCTGTTCCGTGACTGGCGAACATAATTGTTGCGAGTCAACCAGCCGTAGTTTTTGACAGAGTTTTTCGAAATCACTCTTTCGTGGAAACTGGCCTCTGCACAAAGCATAGTCTAATGCCAAAGATAGACGGAGGTACGATCGAGTTTGGCGACCAAAGTATTCACTAATACTTTTGAATCGAAACCCCGACACTGGCTTTGGCTGGATAGGAGAGATTTGCTCGTCGGCACTTCCGAGGCTTGTGGAAGCGCCATCACTATGATCGAGCTCACTCCCAATATGTGCTAATTCGGAACTGAAAGCTACACCGGAGGATGAAAGAGCGCTGTCGATGAAAGTGCAGACCTTATCAGCGGCCTCATACTGCGATCCAAGAACTCGCATGGCTTCCTTGTAAAAGTGCAAGTGGCGGCGGCGTGCATTCCGTTGTAAACGTGTTGAGGAAAACCACGAATCAACGGTGCTGAGAAGAAGTGGAAGGGCCACGTGCGCAACACTGCATAATAATCAGCATCGCTCTAACTCATAAAATGAAAGGTGAAGGCGAAAAGCTTACACGCTAATAGGTAGAAGGCATGCCAATCCCTGAGTAATCAACTCCTTGACGATCTCAGTCATGCTTTTTATAGCCTCCTCGATATTTCCCTTGATAAATTGCATTCTGCTGGGAAACATATGGACATTTTGCATATCCCATATCAGCCCCTCATAGTGATTGACAGCGAGTCGAGCAGAGCTGTGGCAGTGGTATCAGTGCTAAGAACGTGGGAAATTCGAATTTTTCATGAACCCACTCATAGTATATGTATGTTAATTTGGTGAACGCCAAAACTCCAACGGAATTGAAACGGTTTTCCAGTAATTTTTCTGCAGTGTCTCTCCACCTTTGGAGTCCACTCTGCATATGATCGATCTCGTTCTGGATGCGGGAGATATCTTCTGGTGATCCCGATTTCGGGAGGGTGCCCCAAAGAGGAGCATATGCGATGTCGACAATTTCGGTTATAATTACAGCAAGGTGGCATTGTAGGCGAAATATCATGAGGAGTCGGCGTTTCTCTTGAGGCGCATAGACTGACGAGCTCTCGATTTCCTGCTCCAAGTCCACCTCATTCAAATAGTCTAGCGGAATCCTCCCTTGCTCCGGTCCCAGTTGAGTAGGGCGTCTTAGAGCTAGAGAATGAATCCTATCGCGAACAATAATGCACCACCACAATCTTTTCTTTGCGATTGCGTCAGACTCACATCCCACGTCATCATTCAATGTACTAGCATCTGTGGACTTGGCTAACTGCGTCGCTACTGACAACCAGTGTGTACCGGAGAAGAAGTCCAATACTGTGGTTTGCAACGACAGGAGAAGGGCACCCTGAGCTTTGGACAAAACATCGATCTCGGTGTCGAATTCAAATAATAGCTAGCAATTCATGTTAGGATTATGACATCTGGTGACGCATCTGGGGCCATACTTTGGCTCTTTGGTAGAGCGTAGTTCGGGCAACTCTCGTGTCCTTTAATCCCACGGCATTGAGTGTTTGGACGGGGACAAACTATATAGAATGAGCTTTCTTAGTTCTGGAACAGTGAAATGGGTGATAGATGTGCCTACCACGCAGCTTGCGAATAGCATTGCCTGAAGTACAAACATCGATATTTTCTTCGAGAACTCATTTTGGTGGTTTTTCAGGTTGTAAATTCTCCAGAACTCTGCCTCATCCAGGACTGGAAGACAAGGGTGGACAAAAAGAAAGTATTTGGTGATGAAAACGTCTAGATAGGGCCGTTCTGGTAGACGGAAGCATCCTTTGAGCTCTAAAAAGCTTACATCCTCAAAGGGCATTTGGTCGAGACGCGGGAATGCGATGAAACTGTAAGACGCGAAAGGGATGTTGGCAGAAGGAACGGGATGCTCTGAGATTGCCGGGGCAACCCCTAGCTGGAGCATATAATCTGTAATTGCTGTCGGCATTTCCAACCCAAATGATTGACGACCGACCACCGGAGGCTCAGTGAACTGACTCATCTCGCATGGAAAATCATAACTGCTGCTCTGCAATGGAAAAGTGGATGTAGTTGACAAGAGATCACCTGGTTCGAGTTGTGGAAGCCCAGGAGTTCGTCTGGATACCTGACCCTGGCCTATTTTGGAAGTTTGAGAAGGGGAAGAAGCGGTGCGCCTCGGAGGTAGTTGAGACTGTGTCTTTCGACTGTGTCTAGTTTGGCTATGGCGTTGTTCATAAGCAAGCGACCAATAATGTGAGATTTCTGAACGTCTTACTTGCTTGATTTCGATGTAGGAAGGGAGCATTGATGGCAGTCGAATTTGCAGTTCGTACATGGTGGACCTTGTACCGAGACATCGCATCTAACCTTGCGGTCATGACACCAGGAGCACGCTACCCGAGCCCTTTTGCGTAGTCGCTCGCGTCCGGTGGAGTCAAGATTCATTGTGGGTACTGTCGCAGAGCTCTATTTCTTGACAGACAACAGGACCTTCACAAGCAAGAGATCTTATGAGACCAATTTTCAGGAGAAAGTAATTCTCTCAAGTAATGGCTCGGCCAGACTGGGAGGGAAAAATGCGGGGATATCGAAAAGTTGACACCTTTGACTCTGAAATTAATTAGGTGTCCGGCTAGCGCTAGTCAGTGCCCCCTGTGATTTGCTGGAGCGAGCCGAAGGTTTGCGTTGCCGAAGATATTCGGCAAGACCCTAAGACCTCGCCCGGAACCCATCAGATTTTCTCTGGAGTAAGGCGAGGTTGTAAAAGATAATCCCACAAAATTATTTCTCCAGACAAAGGTTACTAACCATTAAGGAACTCAAAGCCAATTGAGAAAGTGAAATTAGCAATGTCAGGAGGTAACCGAACTCGCACAAATTAGGTATCCCCAACAAGAGTAAAGCCACGGGTTCCACTCCGCATTGTGGGGTGATAGGGTATCCGAACACGGGGAATCTGGAGATCCGGGGACCGGGGATTCAATATACTTACTATATTAAGTAGGGATTGTATTCAATACTAGGACGTTTTCGCTCCCCACAGCCGACTAATATGATTTATTAATCCTGGTGAGTAATATGAAGCACACGTATGTGGCTTTCAAAAAACGAAAAAATAGATCAAGTGGGAACGAATGATCTTGCCAGACATAGTAAACAAACAAATGCCTCTGCTAGAATCTTTTTAGCAGCTATTTACTTGGCTTCCAAGGAGAAGTTGTTATCGAAGAAACGTAAACGGTTCTTAGCACAGGAGTTGCCAGGGGGAAAATACGGTACAGGATCAGTTACGTCGGTCGATACTGCGCACGTGCCACCCGGGGAGCCGACGATTCTCGGCAAGAGATGTTGTATACGAAGCGCCCCCCAAACCAGGATTGAAAGTCATTGAAGGAGAGTAAATTGAAGGATCCTTTAGAAGGGGCGTGTGAATGGAGTACCCGAGGCTCTGGTCTGTTCGAACGTCAAAAAGGCCGGACGCCCCCCAAAAAAAACAAGGGTCTCCATTGATTTACTTCACAGGTCTCGACATCATTCTAATCAATAACAGCAACGATTCTTCTTCCTTCGCTATGGGGTTACTAAAAGCAAAATTCCGTTTGAGAAGGTAAGTAGACTGCGTTAGGCTTAGATGCGGTTGCTAACATTGTTATCCAGTCCATGGACACAAAATTTCATTTCTGGTGTCATTCTGTTCTTAACAACTGGCATATATCTAGCAGTTATCGGTTTGTTCTTCACAGATACATCCCAGTGCGGCACCGTCATTTCTAATTCATACTAGGTCTTGGTGCCGGCGGCGGGAAGCCGAGCTCGGCTCATGTCGCAACAATAACATACACTACTATATATGCTGTCTTCGCTGTTACTGGCTTCTTTGGTGGCAGCATAATGAACACTATTGGACCGAAGTGGACAATGACGGTCAGTCTCTTCGACCCCCATATGGTATAAAGTCTGATAACCCTAGCAGATTGGCTGTCTTGGATACCCTATATATGTTGCAAGCCTTTGGTACTATGATGCAACAGGAAATCAGTGGTTCCCTCTGATGGCAGGTGTGCTCGGAGGTGCTGGAGCTGGCTTACTCTGGACTGTTTCTGGTTTCATGTAAGGCTGACCAACGCGCTCCATTTCTTGTCTGAGGTCATTTCCTAATTAATCTGGTGACTATAGTCAGTTTGCTTATGCGTCGGAAGCAGACAAAGGAACATATATTGCATGGCAACTTTTCCTGCTTGCTCTTGGCTCAACATTGGGCGCACTCGTGGCATTTGGAATTAGCATCAAAGATGCTGGCCTGGCCGGTGTTCCAAGTTCAGTGTATCTGACCTTTATCATTATTATGTCTTCTGCCATTATTTTATCGTGAGTCTAGTATTATAATTGGGTTATGATGCTCCCTCTAACGTCATGAGCTGCAGTCTACTAGCGATCAAGTCACCGCAAACTATCACCCGAGATGATGGGACACACTTAGCAATATTTGCAGCTACGGACTTTAAAAGCGAAGTGACAGGATGTATTCATTTGTTAAAGGACTGGTATGTGCCACTCGACTTGTCTGATTGTTTCACACTGACTTCTATGTAGGAGGATTGTCGCTCTTATTATCCCAATGATAGCAACTGAAATGTCTTCTGCATTGATTCCAACACTCAGCGCTTACACCTTCAACTTGAGAACCCGTTCATTGAATAGCGTCATTTTCTGGGCAGTCCAAATCCCTTCAACCCTTCTCTACGGCCTGGTGTTAGACAACAACCGTTTTGCAAGGCGTGCTCGGGGTCTAATGGCACTTACCATTGCTTTGGTCATTGTGGTTATTAGCTGGGCACTGGCAATCAGAATCCAGGTTAAGCATAAACTACGGCGAGATCTCCCTTCTCCCATTTGGGACTGGGATGATCCGAACTACGGAGAATTCAGCATTATGGTTATTTTTACCGGTATTGCCTATGCTATCGACCAAATGGTGGTCATGTGGGTGATCAGCGCGTATAGTAATGAACCCAGGCTCCTTGCAAGATATGGCGGCTTCTTTAAGGGTATGCTGAGTGCTGGCCTGTGTATCGCCTTTGGATTAGAGTCTGCGCGTGTTTCCTATCTGTGAGTACCCCTCTTCTGTTATTTACGGTCATACACTAAAATTCCACGTACTAGGAATCAAACTATCATCCAGGCAACTTTGATGATCATCTCTTTCCCAATCATGTTTTTCCTGGTGACGAAAATTGTCACTGATACCAACTACTTCAACGAGGACACTGTTATTCCTCCGGAACACATTTGCATAAAAAATGCGAACGCCGAAGCTCAAGAGTATAAACCCCAGTAGCACTGTTGGAGAGACATATCACAGTTCGCCGTGACCCCCTATGCTATCAAGTTTTTTCTATATTGTTAGTGTGCCCGCATGTTCTGTGCTCATGCATTTATTCAATCGTGATACCTCGATATTGATACCACGCAAATTAAGTTCAAGCTACATCTTGATATGCATGTAAAACTGTGCTCCCTTTGGGAATGAACCTCTGAATATCCTCCGCAAATCTTTTAATTGAAGGTCAAATTCTCTATAGGGCCTCTCAGTGACTTTCTACGCACAAATTCACTTGTCATACCATCTGTAGTCTTCACCCCGCGTTCTTGAATAAGACAAAAATTTCGGGATGTTTGAGTAAATTTCATTCAGCTCATTCTAAATGTTGGTAATTCACATGGTTTTGGTGGCAACGATCCCTATGGCTTTGTTGTCGCTATTAAGTGTCATAAAATTTCAGTTTTCAGGCAATGTCCGGTGGGGACAGGTTATCAGTTGCCACTGTGCCAAATGGAAGATGGAGATGAAAGATGTATGTTACGGGCAGCTTATTCGGCGTTTTAGGTTAATTGAATTGTAGCCTGCTCAAACACCGAAGCTCTGGGGAGAAAATATCATGGATTCATGACTAGCTAGAGAAGAACAAGACATCTCCCTACGAAAAAGAAGATCCTGGACAAATCACCAAAGCGGAGGTTACTATTGACTGAACTGTAACGCTAGCGGTCCGCCCATCCATGGCACTGAACATGTCGAGCATAAGGCTGACATGACTTCCAAAGCTGACCATTCAAGTAGTAACATCGAGGATCAAATAGCTTGGCAAAATAGCTAATTTTGAATCATGACTGACTCTGTTCATGCCTACGCCGCATTTGCCGCGAATGCGACAGCATCAGTGACATCCAGAGCGTAAGTCAGATGAGGAGGGCCAATCAAGACGCCATTCTTGCAGATATCGTCTCCGGCATGACATGCTGTGTACACCTTTGAGGCAGGAATGTTCGAAAGGGCTTGCTTATCCTCTTGGTTGCGTTAGTTATAGCTCAAAATATAGTGATGAAGTAGAGTTTGATCATACTAGGGTCTCCGAAAAGCAAAACACTGCTAATCCAGCTTGCAGTTGTAGCTTCAAGCTTCGCAACAGCATTGTGCACGATTTGACAACCTTGAGAGTAGCCAGATGCAATCAATTTCGTATCAGGGCATTGAGATTTCACAGACTCAATTTGTCGAGCCCTAGTCATGCATTATCAGTAACTAACCTGTTAGAGAATATAACGTAGTTTGTGGGCTTACATTTCTGCAGTTCCAGCTGCGTCTCCTCCAGCCAAGTATCCTTGGACCGACGCCGAGTAATCATTCACTCCTTGAATAGTGAGAGCAGAACGCCCGAATTTGTCGGCCAGAGCATCAAACAAGGGTGGTCCGACGAGTACTCCCACCTGGCAAGAAGAAAATCTTCAGTTAGTGGTGATTCGAGCATTCGTACTTCTTCACACATACATTGCCAGGCTCGGCTGTGCCACGAGCAAATACCACGGTCCATTCTTTACATGTCCCTCCCGCCTCATTGTAGGTTTCTTGTGCACCAGTCAAAGCGCCCAGGAGTTTGTCGAAGCTAGTAATGAGACTCGTACTTTCAGTAAGAGATTCACTGACAGCAGGTAGGTGATCGATAAGAATGCCCAAAAACGCATTCAAGCCAGCGTCCCTTTTGGTGAGTTGCATTTCACTTGCTGCTGGCAGAGGGGTGGCATATGTATTGAGCCCTAGGAGGGTCAATAGCATGAACTCAAGTTTGAACAACATGTCTCAATTGGAAGATTCTTGGCCGGTGTGGTGATCTCGTTTCTGAATGATGTTGTGCTACTTTTGGAGCGCCTCGTCGCCCAATTTATAATGAAATGCTTAAAGACGCATTGTACGATACACATGTTTTTATCATCGGCGCTTTCCTGGGAACCGAGGCTTCCATTCATTTCGAGGCATAGAAGGAGGGAAATGTAGGGATCATCTCCCTAAGAATACATGAAACCGCAGGGGTAAACATTCTGCTTACACCCCGCTTCACTACTAAACCTAAAAATGCCATAACGATTGATATCGGCCAATGAGAAAGTAGCTTGTATTTCGACGTGGTGTTGAGTCGAACATCCGGGGGTACCTACCCTATTGAACAAGGATGCTGACTATGTCCGCCCTGTGCCTTTAGTATCCCTGTTCGTCTACATAATGATCAGCTCGGATTGAGGAGGTCAGACTTGCGCAGAAAGAAGAGAGTGAAGGAGAGTGATGCTAGGTCATCTTTATCCTTGTTGATTGCTTCGTTTGCACAGTACACTGGTGACCTATTCCCGGGCCTACCTAGTAAGTCACATGCACTCGAGGCAATTTGATGCCAAGGAAAATCCTTCAAAATGCTTGTGGTGGGTACTACCCCGCGACGTTGTAAAGGTTGTATGTACCTTGTTTCGGGGGAAGTGGGTCTCCAACGCAAAGCTAGGTAATAGTCCCAAATAGGCAATTGCCAGGCATTAAAAAAGTTCAATATCGTTATATATATAGATTTTACGTGGGGAAATCATAGGTGGATGTGATGGCCATAAACAAATGCATGTAGTCGATTCATGTGTCTGCCATCCAACCCGCGGAACCATGTGGGCCGAGGGAAATGTACCCGAAGATTCTCGGCAGTCTTAGTACCGCACGAACTCAATCAAAGGCTCAGTGTTGAATATTGTTTCGGGTATATGGGGTATTACGAGAAATAAATTGCTAGGACTACTTTCTTGAAGGCCCACCTGAAATCCTGAAGGAAGAATGAAAGTTCGCGGGGTCATTGTGAATCTTACGCGGAATTTTGTCTAAATCGTGATACAGGATGATTTTCAGTGGCTCTCCCTTCTTTCAGTCATGCGTGAAGAATATTTTCTCTCTCTTCATTATTTGCTAGCTTTGGACTGTTTAACAGGCACGCCCGCCCGTAAATTGACTATCGTCTTAGCAATTCCATTGCCAAATCATAAGCTTCATCCTTGGCCTTCTCTTGAGGAGTCCCTGCTTTGTAGGATTTGTCCCATGCATGGTCACAATTCTCCATTCGTCGATGCATAATAGCGTCATCCCCATGCGTATCGCGTAATTTCTGGACCAAATCCTCCCCCTCAGGGCACAGATTGTCACGGTCACAGGTAAAGAACAAGGTATTTTTTTGAAATTTGTCCGCAGTAGCATTTATGGGCGAGATTTTGGGGTCACTCCAATCTAGGCCAGATGCATAACACTCCGTGAAGATATTCAACATCCACGGAGGAAGGGGGCTCCCATTCGGATCTGGCGGAACCTTGCTAGAGTGATCCTTTGCCAGATCAGTTGGTGGATAGAAGCATATAACGTGGCGAAAGGTTTCCTTTGGAAACAGTTGACTGCTGGCAACAAGGGCTAAATTGGCACCGGCACTGAACCCGGAGATAGAGATATAGGAAGGGTCGAAATCCTGGGGGTTCGAAATCACCCATTTCACCACATCTTCGACATCATGGATTGCGGCAGGGAATGGGTTTTCTGGGGCAAGGCGGTATGCGACATCTAACACGGCATAATCGGTGGCTTGAACCACTCGACGAGCAAATTCATCGTCGGTGCCATGCCATGGCACTATAAATCCACTGCCATGGAAGTTCACGAGGACAGGGGTAGGTTTTTCTGCTCTTGCTCGATAAGAATTCACTTTTATCGTTCTTCCTGGATCACGGCTGGGCAGCTGAAGGACTTCATCTTGTTTGGTTAAACTGGGCTCGAGTTTCCAACGGAAGGCAAGTCGAACGAGCGACGCTTCAACCTTGAGACGAAGATAATGAAGAAAGGCCATGATTGACTAAGGTTAATTTAGAAAGAAAAGTAAATCAACAACTGGGTGAAAGAAGAAAGAGGTAACCTCGGGAGTATTTAAGGTGGAGTATAAGCGCGAGACTTGGATCTTTTATAACGTCCGAGGCTCCGAGAAGCCGAGCCTCCGAGAAGCCCGGGTATTACGGGTCCCCGGTCCCCACAATCCTTCACGACCCCACGTAAAACTATCGAACCAGCAATATGGGACGCTCTTGCTGCGGAGGCACGCCTTCTCAGGCAGATGCGAATGATGAAGCTGAGGTAAAGAAACCAGATACTTCTTCTGTGGATTGTTATGGCGGTGCATCATCTGCACCATCGGAGACGTCCAGTCAAGAGAACTATCGTGGGGACGGCGCTTTCCAAAGCAACAAAAAAACAAATCACAATAATAACAATACAGCTTGTTTTACCAAAACTGCAGACGCCTGTTGCAATGAACCTACCTATCCTTGCAAGGGCAAGGCTCCACCCGGGACTTGCGAGGGAGGCTGCTGCGATGACCAGTCTGCCGAGGCTGTTGGTAAAAAGAATGTCACTTCTTTTGGTGCTTCTACTTTCAAAGCTTGTTGTGCAGGAAATCCTACCGTCAAATCTGGGATGTTAAGTCACAGTGTTTCTTCGGGCTACACTCGCACACACGCCGCCTCCGGTACCCCATGGTCGAGCGAACCTGCTACTTCCGTTGAACCAATTGTGGCAGAGTGCTGCGAGGGCAAGTCTTCGCCTTGCTGTAATGAGGCCTGTCTCGACCGTCTGGCTTTACGTGAGTGTGATACGGTATCAAACACCCCTTGCATGGGAACAGCTGGACGCTGTATGTTGAATGGAAATGTCTTGTTGTCGTATTAATCTGCTGATTTTGAATGCAATGCAGCTTTTACCTCGACATCCACACGGGAGGAGGATTCAACGCCCAGGCGCAGAGCTTGTGATCATCATCATCGCTCGGTTAGAGAGCAATATGCTGCTAGCCTTACAGCACTGGGATGTATCTGCCGCGCCCTTCTTGCCCTTGGCAAAGAATCATGCTGCGAGCCTCAAAAGCGCTCTTCGCTGGATAAGGGGCAGCGCTCTAAATGGCCACTGAAAGAGTCTCTCTCGCGCGTTTCGGTTGAATCTCGCTGCCAAAGCGGCACGTCTACAAGTCAATCGCCGCTTCGAAGTACCGAGCAGGAGCGACAGAATCAAATAGCACGTAGTATTGAAAAGCGTGCCAGCCAACGTTGCTCTGCCAACTCTTGCTGCAAACCCAATATTACCACATCCAGCGACAACTGCACGGATCCCCGTGTCTCTGAAGCAGACGAAAAGAATATCAAGTCAGCGGATGGTTCCTGTCCGGGTATTTGCTGCACCTCCAAAAAGCCATGCTTCCCCAAAGACAAGAAGAGTGATGCTGTTAGCATTGCTCGTGATCTAGAGGGCCAGGGTATAGGCGTCGAGCATGTGGTTCTCTCTATATCTGGTATGACTTGCACTGGCTGCGAGACAAAACTCAACAGAACCCTCGCGACAGTGGCAGGTGTTGAGAACTTGAGGACAAGCCTGGTTCTTTCTCGAGCTGAATTCGACTTGGACCTCAACCACTCAACTGTGGACTTTATTATGAAGCACTTGGAGCGGACTACAGAGTTCAAATGTGAGATCATCACCAGTAATGGGTCATCTATGGATATAATTGTTTCTGGGGATCCATTTTTTATCATCAACCAGGCTTGGCCAGAAGGCGTGAGTGACATATCGCTCGTCGAGAATTGTACTGTTCGCGTTTCTTTTGATCCAGAAGTGATTGGAGCACGAGATCTCATGGAAAAACACTGGGGTGAGATTGCGAAGCTTGCGCCCATCTGTGGTGACCCAGTACTCGCGGCTGGAAGCAAACATGTCCGACATTCTGGGTTCATGACTCTTTTTTCTGCAGCCCTCACGATCCCAGTCTTAGTCATGTCATGGGCCCCCATACCCGAGAGAGAAACCGCCTATAGTTCTGCCTCACTGGCTTTGGCTACTATTATTCAGATTGTGGTAGCAGGACCTTTTTACCCTAAAGCCTTGAAGGCTCTTGTCTTCTCGCGAGTCATTGAGATGGATCTTCTCATCGTGTTGAGTACCAGCGCCGCATACATTTTCTCTGTGGTCTCTTTCGGCTTTCTTGTTTCTGGTAAACCTCTTTCCACTGGCCAGTTCTTTGAGACAAGCACACTCCTGGTTACATTGATCATGTTCGGACGATATGTTGCAACCCTTGCCCGTCAAAAAGCGGTCGATTCAATTTCCATTCGATCACTTCAGGCCCAAACTGCCCTTATTTTGGACGAATCAAACTCTTCAGTGGCTCGGGAAATCGACGTCAGGTTACTGCAATACGGAGACACGTTCAAGGTCCTCCCAGATATGAGAATCCCGACTGATGGAACTGTTTCATCTGGCTCATCTAAAGTGAACGAGTCGATGCTCACTGGAGAGTCCCGACATGTCGAAAAGAATCCCAAGTCGCGTGTCATTGCAGGGACAATCAACGGCTCGGGAAGTCTGTGTGTCAGGTTAACTCGCCTCCCCGGTGACAACGCCATTAACACTATCGCCGCCATGGTCGATGAAGCCAAACTTTCTAAGCCAAAGATCCAAGAACTTGCCGACAATGTGGCTTCCTATTTTGTTCCAGTCATTGTGGGCTTGACTATCGTCACGTTTGTTATTTGGGTGGCTGTTGGCATAGCAATGCAAGGCAAAACTGCATCCGAAGCCACCGTCCAGGCTGTCACCTACGCCATCACGGTGCTTATAGTCTCCTGCCCTTGTGCCATTGGTCTTGCCGTACCGATGGTGGTTGTAATTTGCAGCAGTATCGCAGCAGAGCGAGGCGTGATATTCAAGTCTGCACATTCAATCGAAGTCGCCCATAGGGCCTCTCACGTGGTCCTTGACAAGACAGGAACGCTGACCCAGGGAAGGCTCGGCGTAGCCGTTGAGCATTACCTTGGAAATGGGGAATCGTGCTTGTCGCTTCTTTTGGGCCTGGTCGGCGACAGCAAGCACCCGGTTTCAGTGGCTGTTGGTAATCATCTTAGACAAAAGGGGATTGCTGCAACAGCTGTTCCCAACGTTAAAAGCTTGACCGGTCAAGGCGTGGAAGCGAAGCTAGCTAGTCAAATGCTACAGGCCGGGAATTCACGCTGGCTAGAGCTTTCTACACACCCCCTGGTGCAGCCGGTGCTTACGCAAGGCTATACCGCGTTTTGCTTCACCATCGACGGTGCGCTACTTGCTGTCTTCGGTCTCGAAGACTCTCTCCGAGCTGATGCAACCCACGTGGTCAATACTTTGCAGAGACGCGGCTTGTCGGTTCATGTGGTATCGGGCGATGACGAAGGCGCCGTGCAAAACGTGGCCACAAAGTTAGGAATCCCTGATGGCAACGTCCATGCTCGTAGCTCTCCGGCGGACAAGCAGGTCTACATACAAAACCTCCTGAGCATTTGTTCTGATGGCAAGGTGCCGATTGTCATCTTTTGCGGAGATGGCACCAATGACGCCGTGGCGCTCGCGCAAGCAACTATCGGCGTTCACATGAACGAAGGCAGCGATGTTGCCCAGTCTGCAGCCGATGTCGTGCTTATGCGCCCAGATCTGTCTGGTCTTCTCACCATGATGGATGCTAGCAAGGTCTCTGTGAGACGCATCAAATTCAACTTCGCTTGGAGTTTTGTCTACAATACATTCGCCGTGCTCCTTGCGGCTGGGGCCTTCGTGAACGCCAGAATTCCGCCCGAGTTTGCGGGGTTAGGGGAGCTAATTAGCGTATTGCCCGTCATAATCGCTGCTGTGCTCTTGCGATGGTCTAAGATCTAGCTTGTGGATGAAATAACCATCATGTTATCTTGAAATTCTCTTCTGGGAACAGAATATGATGCTGTTTGACTAGCTATTTTATATTTTTTCGATATGTCAGAATGGCTTTGAGGTCTAACGCATGGGAAGCATTGTGTTCGGCTGGTTGTTTTCAACAAGCAATCATGTTTTAATCCAGCATTTTTCTGCAATACATTTTGTATTACGAGTATTCTACACATTTCCACCTATATCGTACTAACATGGTTCAGATATCTTTTCAGATGGCTTTTCGTGCTACCTCACACGTATCGTCACGTCAACTCCCAATTCTACCGAGACTGAAGGATATATAGATTTCTGAAACATGAAGATAAAACGAGCTGATTGTATAGGACTCTCACTTTTATAGATCGCATTGGTCATATAATATTAGCTCTTAAGTTCGTTCTTGAATATAATGATAAAAAGCGACCTAAATGTATATGATAGGTCGCTTTCATATTTGAGTGCCAACTGGCGAGTGGAAAGTTGGCTCCCGAGACTCTGGTCACCGCCATCGCCACAAGGTGGCTTGTGTGCTTCTCCTCATCCAACCTCTTTTCCATAACCACCCAACGCTGCCTGCTTCTTATTCACCATATTTTGCTTGAAATCTTCCATACCTTCGCATATCCTCTTTGATTCCCCTATGCGGTTTTGTTACTCCTTCAACCAATGAACCAATCGTCACCGTGAAGAAGACCACACACACACAACCTCACAGACCGAGCCGCCATGGCGCGACGGTACGAGATCGATGAGCTGATATGGCTCCGCGGCTCGCCCCTCGTCGCAAAGCCTCCTGGCCTGCCTCCAATTGAAGAGTGGATGTAGGTTGACTCCAATTCTTGCAATTCTTCGGCTGTCCCGCACTGTCAACGTCAAGACTGACCGCAACCTCTAGGCCTCAACCTGACCCAACAACCGCACAACGCAAAACCCATGGCACCCGTGATGCCAATAATCCGGCTGAAACTGGTACAAACAGAAGGCCTAGCTTTTTTGAAGCCAAACATATCTCTCGGGGGTCCAATTCTGGTATTATTCTCTCCCTTTCTGTCGATCATCAAGTATTCTGATCGATCTGCGATGGAGGCACTTGCTAATGTGGATTCTTTCTGCTTCTAGAGGACATCGTACTCGGCCCCCCGAAAACTGCCTTTGCCTCGTCTCGTATTGGCGGCAAAGGCTCGTTCGACCTGACGGACCGACCAGCGGCGCGGCCAAACGATTCCGATGAAACGAAGAACGACCGATTCAACTTCAGAGACCGGTTGTTTAAGGACCGCGATGCCCCGGATAAAGAGTTAGATCGACGGGAGGTTAAGCCAGGGCCACTGACTGCCCGGCGTGGTGAGAGAGAAGACTGGAATGCCGGGCGCCCACGTCGCACATTCGGCCCGGATGAGCAGGAGCGCAAGCCCAGACGAAACGGCGAATTCGACAGATGGGAAAACAAGGAAGGACCTCGCGATCCCAACGTTGAACGGGTTCCCCGTGACAAAGATGGCCGGTTCCCCACTCGGAAAGAAGGACAGCCCCCACGATCCAAATACGAAGGAAGCTGGTTCCGCGATGAGCAGGCCCAAGAGGGCGCTGATGCTGATGACGATAAACCGCCGTTGCGCAACCGAGAATGGCGCCAAAACCAGACCCGGCACGGCACTGAGCGTGAGTGGAATCGCGGCGGCAAATTTGAACAAGAACCTGAATGGCTGGATGCCAATGACCGAGACGAACCACGACGAGCACACACCCAGGAGGACTTTGAGCGCTGGAAAGAACGTATGAAGGCTGGATCTGGATCATCCGCACAAACCCCGGCACATGCCGAGGAGAAGAGAGAAGCACATGTTGAAGAGCAAAAGCCGGAGACTCGCCGTACTGATGGTGAGATCTTCAGCAATTCTGGTGCTCAGTTCATGTCCGACGAGTCGATGGAACGATTCTTCGGGCTCCTGGGTGATTCGAAGGCTCAGCCTCAGCCTCAGACCCCAGAAGTCAGTACTCCTATCACTGCCGATCCAGTCCCCAAAAAGGAACCCTCCCCCTTTCCCGGAAAGCCTGGAAAGTCATCTCGTTTTGCAGGTCTCTTTAGCCCCATGCCAGAGAGCCCTGCCAGAGAGCCCGAGCCGATGCCTTATTTCAGTGCCCCGCCCCAACCCCAGCATTATCAACAGCCGCAGCCGGCGCCTGAGAGTATGCCTTTCCCGTCGCACAGTGCGGACCAAGAAGGCTTCCAACGCATTCTGCAGATGCTTGGTGGACAACGTTCGGAGAATTCTACGCCTCATGAGATGGGTTTGCCCCAGCAGCAACGGAATATCTCCATGATGCACGCCGAGCAGCAACATGCCGCCCTATCTATGTCATCTCCCTCCAGGGAACCCCCTCACCGATCCGATTATATGGGCGCTGGCCCCGAGAATCCCATGGCCCAAGTTGGCCCCAAGGATCCCCAGGCGCTTGAGAGGGCGCACTTGCTTCGTTTGATGCAGCAAGTCCGAGTCGGACCACCGTCTGCGGGTCATCTACCCCAGCAGTCTCCCAACCCGGGTATTGCCCCTCCTCCAGGTCTGATGCCAGAAGGCATGCCGCGCCCTCCGCCAGGGCTTTCTGCTCAAAAGACGCCGACTTTCCTCGATGACCCAGCAATTGCAAACATGCAGCGACCAGATAGCGAGCACCTCCGCCGGCGACCTGCAAATGGTCCGCCTATGGGATTCTTTGACGATATGCCGTTCCCTCAGGGCAATCAAGGCCCCATGAACCCGGGTGGTCCTATTACTCCTGGTGGCTCGCGGCCTCCTCAAGGCGCGAACCAGCCTCCCATGCCGCTCCAGCGACCCCCCGGTCTCGAGCATCTGCCACCCCCTGGATGGACTGGCCAGCCGGTCCCGCAGCAGGGAAATCTACCAAGCCCTATGGGCCCTCCTCCTGGAATATCTACCCCGGGCCGCGGCATGAACCCCAACTTCCCCCCTGGTATGCTTCCCATGCCCGGTAACGCGCCTCCAATGAATGAGCGCCAAGGCTTCCCTCGCGGCCTGCCTCCAGGCATGATGCCACCTCCGGGTTATATGAACGGCCCTCCCCCGGGCTTCCCTCCTATGCCACCAAACCCTGAGGCCATGATGGGACTTGGTCCTGGTGCTCAGGGTCCCTTTGGACCTGGCAACCCTGGCCCACAGGGCCCTCCCCCTTCGTCTAGACACCTCCTGGAGATGTTCGGTCAGTCCAACGGCGGTGATGTCCGTGGCGGCATGGTCGGTCCCGGCCAGTTCAGATAAACGGAAAATATTGGAAAAGGATTTCTATCGCCTGGATCACATTTACGCAACATTTACCTTTGCCCAATGACCATTTATGATTATCTACGCTTGGTGAAGCCGATGTACAGGGGCTTGTGATTTTCGATTTTCATTTTCCATCCAACCAGATTCCACGGCAATGTCGCACCTCTTGAGAGAACAAAATACCCATTTTCTTGTTTTTTTTTTCTTCCTCAATGTATTTGCTCATGCCCTTTCGGCAAAATGATGCCCGTGTTCAATAACTGCCCCCTACTCCTCCGCGTTTGAGCCTTTGCTGCGTTGGCTTTGGCTTCTCTGGTGTGATTTTGCCGCATCTATTACCGGGCCTTTTCTTTTCCTCTCCCCTTCATATCTTTCCTGGTGTTCTTGAAATCTCTCAAGGAGTGATGTGTCCGTGCTGTGTCTTCTGGTGTTGGATCTGATGAGTATAGTCTTGGCGACTATAACTGGGGGTTGACAATATGTGTCGATAAGGTGGTGAGGTGGATGGATGGTCTTTAACTATGACTTTATTGGGTTTTCGTTCTTCGCTGGTTGTCGGAAGACCCATGCTCTGTTTCCATAGATAGCTGACCAGCCTCAATCTACCCATCACTTGTTCGAGACTGGGATCCTTGTAAAATGTTTTTATGTTCAAATATATGAAAGGCCAGTAGGTGATATGCCTCGGCCCGGTCTCAAGTCAAGTCAAGTCCAGAACAATTTATATCCTGCGGCTACTGTATCAATCAAGCAAGTGACCATATCCCCCCATGCTTAGGAGAAATACTTCAATACTACTTCTCTTCCTCCACTATGAACAAGACAGCGTATTGCTCCCCTCTATACCGTAGTAATTCATTTATGCTATAGTAGTCCCAGTGTGTTTCCTTAATAATTACATACACTACATATACTGTAATCTCGGTCTCGCTCACGCTCTCGCTGCATTCTAGAATATTCACTGGTTATGTTTGTATCCGATGTGTTTGCGGGTCTCCCTTGTGATCTGCTTAGGCTTATGTGAATGCCATATGGCGGAACTTGTCAGGTGGGATGTCCACTACGCATGCACCATATACAATTTTACAGAATTCTTTAAGGCAATAGCACATTTCCTAAATACAGATATGGTCTCGGCAACCGGCATAATACTTAATGTGTGCTGCAGATGTATAACTCCATGAGTAGGTAAACATTCTATGGTAGGACTAGACTATTCTGTGAGATATCTTCCTAGCTTTACAAGCTATAGTATGGTTTATTACGCGCCAGATCGTCTGGTACATACCTTCATTTTATGACCGGGTACCGTGAATTAGCACATATAAAACTGCAACTAACGCTATGATGGTTTTAGTCTACCACTTTAATCAACACATTGCAATGCTATATGTCGGAAAAAGATAATACCATCACAATAGCGTGTGCTATGGGCAAGCTGATTGGGTGGGTCACACCACACGTGACAATTCTTGCCCCCATTCCCATCGATCTAGAAACCGAACTATAAAATGACCACCTCTCATTCTGGACCACATATGGAAAATCAAGACAATTTAAATATGCTTCATGATTAGAAACAAATGGAATAAATGAAGGAATATCCAACTTCAAATAGCCTGCAGGCCTGGAGTATGAAATCATCTATAAACTGTAAGACTGTAACATTATAGGCCCCGGCCAGTTAAACCGACGACTAAGTGCCGACGACTAAGCGTAGCAAACGGCCAGCTCTAGATAAGTCTAATATCTAAGTATGTAGTCTAATTTGTATTCCTCCTATCTTGTCCTCCGCGTTACCCGACACAGCGCCGACGATACCTTGCACACCAAACCGTGCAGGGTGGCCACCGAGTATCGAGGACAGATACGGACACAAATCTTGCCTCATACTAAAATTTAGACAGCCAGGTATATATCTCGTTTTGACGCCAGTCTGTTGAGCTATTGTTTTATCCCATGCTAACTTCCTCCCCAAAACACAGGCAAGGCGCTTGAGCCCACCGGCGAGGACCAGTACTTGATCCTTCGAAATCAAGCACATTGCTACATGTCTTCCTCCAAGGTATGATCTCGCTTCAGATATTCCACAAATCAGACAAATTGGTTGGATGCAGACATCCGCGATGGAAAGACTCGCGTCGCTCGTGAAGGCATTGCATGCTAATTGAATGACTGAGTAGTCATTCGAGATGGATCCTGCGGACGTGGAGGTGCGTCTCGAAGTGGATGACGATGGGGTAAGTAAATGTCTCGGCGCTTTCCCCGTTCGCGCGCGCGTTATCCATATGTGTCCCACCAAGCTAACGCTTGCTCTCCGCGTTTACCACATAGCTCGCCTACATCCAGTCAAACCCTGCAGTTCCCTACGTGCTACCCTCGGTGGAAGACCACTTCGACGAAGAGCCTTCCATTGCACCAACCTCTACCGGGGTTAAGCGCAAGCGTGACACTTCGCCAACACGCGCGCAGGCACACCCAGCTGCTGAGAGCATTGACCCTTCCCCTTGGTACTTAGACCCTGTCTACTGCAACTCGCTTGACTCTACGCCTGCTATTGACGAGTCTCGTCTGACTCGGCTTGGTATGTTTCTCCCTTCTATCCCACTTCAGTTTATTCCCAAATGATTGGCCGAGTAACTCATTATTTCGAATCAAGGAACCGAGGAGCTTGAAGGGTCTGAGTGGTTTCCACCCCCAAAGCGTCAGCTTCGTCCCGGTGCAATGGCTCCCCTGGACCCCCTGGAGCTGCCTGACACCCCACGCAAGACCACCCCCAACTCGCGCGTTTGGGAATCTCACCGTCCCTCTAACCTGAACTTTACCATTTACGAAGACCCCCCGGACCAGGAGACCCCCAAGCCTAGCCCTCTGCAGGAAGGATTCCACCCTCTGGAGGAGGATAAAGAAAACATTTACCTCACTCAATCTGACCTCGAAAGCTCCGACGAAGAAGAGGACACTCGACCCAACCTCGCTTGGAATGAAGCTTCCACCGGCCCTCGTGATGCCTTCGGTCTCCCACTCAACCGCGAGATGTCTGATTTCGTCCAACCTCGCAACAACCCATTCCCCGAGCGCCACATGCGCCGCGGTCGAGAGGTGCTGCGAACCATCTGGGTTGATGAGACACAGGTCCCCGAGGAAGATGATGGTCCACTGCATGATGACAGTCTGACCGACGCCCAGGTTCGAGAGATTGAACAGATTGAAGAAACTTACCAGCGAGGACGAACTACGACCCGCTCTTACCGTCAACAGTTGCGTGAGACTTCCCCAGTTCAGGATCCGAGCAACTCCCCCAGTGATGTTCGCCGCGTCCTTAATTTCCAGCCAGACGAGGGTCGTCGCCCTGTCACTCCCGAGCAAAACGAGGATCGTCGCCCTGTTGCTGCTGAGGAAAACGAGGGTCGCCCCCCTGTTGCTGCTGAGGAAAACGAGGGTCGCCCCCCTGTCACTCCCGAGGAAAGCGAGGAGGAGCCCCAGCAGCGCCAGCCAGAGCAGGAACAGCAGGAGGAGGAGCAGGACCAGTAATCTGGAAGCATATGTTTTCTTGATCTGGGATTGGTCGCGATCTGACACTGTTATGGCCACACGGTCTCTGCGCTATCTTATGAAAATCTCCACTGTGTTTGGCACAATCTGTAATCTTCAGGTTTGTGTTCTTTCTTCGAATATGCTTTTACGATTCACGGCATGTATGACTAGCTTATTTTTAGCCGATGAATCTTTGCTGTTATTTTCCAAACAAAAGTGTATTCTCTGTAAACATTCTCGTAGATCTAAGCATAGACATGGCTACGCAGCGGTATAAGGCTCAGGGTTCAAGTGAAGAAAACAAGAATAGTAGGCCGCTTATGCCGCCTCTGTCCTTGACGACCTAAGACTTTATTGATCTGATCTATTTGGACCAAGATGGTGTTAGTTATAAGACCCCTCCGATCTGCTTTTTGGATGTTCTTTTCATATGTCTTTTTACATGTCTTCTCTGATGTCTTCTTAGGTGTATACGAAGGCGGGAAAAAAGGCATACTTTGTATAACCTTTGGTGTATAACTTGAGGGCTTTGATAATGGATTACTTAATCCAGAAAATAAGCTTTGGGATCCTGCCAAGCTGGACCCACTGCGATCTTGCCATGTACATACATACAACCCTCAAGTCTCGAGGTCAGAGCGACCTTCATCAACCTTTTCAAGCATGGAGACTTCGAGTGCTCTGCTAGCACGACCCTTACCCACCCTGACTCAAGATAATGGTACTAGTACCCACTCTATGTCGAACTCTAGGACTGTCATATCCATGAAGCTGTTCTATGAATCATCTTTGGCCGGGAGGCCGTCCAACAGAGAGATCAAGCCGAGAGATCAGGAGACGATTAATGTTTATATACTAGAAGCGTGTGCACAGTACCCTAGAACCCTATAATGTGCTCTGAGTACCGTTGGATAAGGACATACTAAATATCCTTTTAGAGGTCTTTTTCGATATATTTTGAGGTATCTTTTAAGGTATCCTTTTAGATGTCTTTTTAGATGTCTTTTTAAATGTCTTTTTAGATGTCTCTTAGGATGTCTCTTGAGATTCCTATAGATGTCTATTTAGAATAATTAACCACATACTAATACACAATTCCTATAGGACTACTTTACCATATATAATTGTACCCTATTTGTATAGGTTAATTAGGCCTAATTTGATATTGAGCATGATCCGTGTTGAACCAGCGAAAAGTGGGCGTCGCTTCTGCTATGTAGTTACACTGAGTGTCTTGGAAACTATGTCCTCCACTAAAAATAAATGCCCATTCCAGCGATAAGCAGCTGATCTCAAATCGATCTTGCGACACACAATGCCATGGTCCGTATCATTGCTGTTTTTGGTAGTTTTGGGGGTTTTCATCCTTTTTTTCGTGTCCTGCTGTATTCCTTGGGACTAAGCGTCATTTTTCACTTCATTTCGCTCTCGGTGTTTGTCTCTCCATCTTCTTGCCCATGCTTCTGTTTTGACGATTCCTGCAAGCTAACTCCGTTTCTTAGGAGGCGCAGACCGAGTAGCCTTTGCTTTGGAAGTGGCTTTGGGCGCGGGTGTGGGCGTGGGGTTTGACGCATCTTGGGACGCATTTTTGGACGCTAGATGGACCCTGAATCCCTCCTTTGGATCATCCGTGACTTCACCAAACATCTCTAGCAGTTCTTTGAGTGTGTTTCGGTCCATGAGCACATTCTGACTCAAGACTTCGCTAATCTCCTTAGCTTTCCGCTTCTGGGTACTGTCCATCCAATCGTCAATGGAATGTGCGACCATGAGCATGATACATTCGACATCTCGCTGTTGCCCAAGACGCCAAAGACGAAAGAATGCCTATTATTGCACAAGTTAGAAGACTGGGAGATTCACTTTTCATTCATGCGTGACCACCTACCTGGTCTTGAACCGCTTCGTTCCACCATAGATCAATCAGGATACACTTGTTAGCCACGGAGAAATCAAGACCTAGGCCACCCGTTTTAATCGAAGCAATCATGATCTTTGTGTCATCTTTGTTTCGGAAGTTGTCCAGATGGATTTCTCTTGACCTATTGGCCATTCGACCCGTGATCTAGTCAAGTCGAGTTAGACATGCGCTCTGTTGGCTTATTGTCTTGAAGAACTTACTTGGGAGTATTGCCAGTTATTCTCTTCACACAAGTACTTCAACATCCTGGTGCTGTTGACATACTGTGTGAAAATCACGATTTTGGCAGTGCTGTCTTCTTTGAACCACTTTTTGACTTGAGACGTGATTGCATCAAATTTGGCGCCCGGCATGGATCTCCCAAATAACGTTATCCAATCTTGACCTTTGTCAACCACTTCCTCACAGGGAACATCACCCTCGTCAGGGTTTTCGTCTTCCCCTTCGTCTTGGTTCTCATGTTCGCTTTCGTCATCAAATGAGACTGGGTTTCCATCGGCCAACAACCATTCTGAGAAAGTGGGACCAGAATTTTTACCCTTCCGGCGTTTCTTGGTTCGAGATTCCTTTTCTGTGCTTGTCTCCGGTGTTGCTGGTCGCTTTTGCTGGCCCGCTGATTCAAGAGAAGAAGACTCAGCAGCCTCCAGTGGAGGTGTATCGAAGTCATCATAAATTCCGTAGAATGCAGCCTTTTTGATGGGAATCTTGCAACAATGGCACAAGCGATCGACACCATCGGTGTTCCCTTCTCCGTCGGCGAGTGCGTCAAAACACTCTTCGCAGTAAAGGTGTTGACAGTCCGTGATAATAGCCCTTGCTGGGAGCCCGTCACAGCCAGGACAGAACCAGGTGCGATGATCACTCTCATAGTATGCTCCATTTCTTAGGAGTTCTTTGATTTTATCCCCGAACTTTGAAACAAGCTTTGCGCAATTTCCGGGCGGCCGTGGTCGAAGATTTTCGCTTTCTGCTCGAGACCTCAGAGGAGCTGTAGGCATACCGGTTTGGTATTTCCCTGCAAGACAGCACTTCGCAATTTTACTTGATGGAGACGGGTCTCCTGGACTTGTTTCATTCTTCACCCAACTCTTTAGCTTTGTAACCAGTGCGCTGTTGAAATTGCACACTCGCTTGAGGTAATCTTCTGCAGTAAGTGGATGACTGGTGAACATCTGTAGCTTTAGGATCATCGTCAAAATGCATTTGCTCTGCTTTTTTATTTGGGTAGTAGCTATAGCCTTTTTAGTAGTGAACTCAATCATTTACACCCTCGGAGGGCTTCCAAGCTCACCATTGACTTTCTCGATGAACTTCTCCGCAATTGCGGAGTAGATCTGCCTTTCCACTGGGTAAAACTCGACCTTTTTCTCCTTTAGATCGAATTTTTTGAGCTCGATAAAGGGTCTTCCCATATGACGGCTCTCGTGGGTCTTGCGATGGATGACGGCGCGAAGCATGTTGATCAAACGCTTTTTGGCTTCATCCGTCCCCTATGTTGGCAGAGAAATGTTAAATGTGCATTTTTTTGAACTGGAAAGAAACTTACATTGCAAAAGTTATGCATGAAGATGTGGTAGGGGTGGCTGTTGGGGACATCGATGAATGCAAATAGAGCATAAAGTTCATCAACGGAGCTATGTTCGAAAGTTAACTTGAATTCATTTTTGGGTTTATTTAAATGTGGGCTGTACTCACTTGTGCAGAGGTGTTCCGGTTAAAGCCCATTTGAAATACCCGCTTAGAGAGCGAACCGCAATCGACGTTCTGGTCATCCTGTTCCTGATAATGTGTGCTTCTGTAGACTTTAATTAGCCCCAGTCTCATCTGATTTCCATTCAACCATGATTTACATACCGTCGAGAATGATTCTGTGCCAGTTGATTTGATGAAAGGCACCTGCTTTCTCGTCATATTCTTGGTCCCACCATTCTTGGATAGCGGCAATGGTCTGGAGTTCAGCGGGCGGCTTTAGATCAGGATACGAGGCAGCAATCTCCGAGTAGGTTGTCAACCTAATCATTGTCAGTAATCCTGTAGGGGGGTATCTCTGATCGGAAGCAGCACTTACACAATGCCGTGTTCTTTGAGTTCGGGGGCGAGCTCATCGGTTCTCACGCGTGAACCAGAGCAATGTGCAATGATCCTCCCGGCTGCTCCTTTCTCACAATGTTGCTGAATCTGCGACATCCTGTATGGTTTAGTGTTTAGAGATAATGCTTAGTATGGCTGAAGGAGAGGCCGTACCAGGTCTCTATCAAATTTCTCGGGGCAACAATCAGAGTCGGACCTTCTGGCTGAGATGGTATCTTTCGATTCACGATGCACGCTAGAAATGTTTAGCTGTGTTATCACACAGTGTCTCATTCTTATTCATCTTACCTAGAGCCGAGAGAGTCTTACCAAAGCCCATCACATCGCAGAGTAAACCGCCATTCGGCTTACTCGAAGAAGTTTCTCGTTTGCACTATATTGATTAGTAAATCTGACGTTCGAAAAAAGAAATCCGAACTCACCATCCAAGAGGCAGCTAATATCTGTTCCGATGTCAGTCTTACATTTGATAAAAGCGAATGTGGGAGTGGAAGTGGATACAAACCTGGTTCACCATGAGGCATGTTTTTATCCCTCTGACCTTCCATTTCCCTTGTCCGTCTGACCTTGCTGATGGATTGAAAGTCCGCGTCGCTTCATCCAGGATGGATATGTCTGCACGTGCTCCAGCCTTTTCTGCAACTGGGATACTGGCAAGCATCTCCCTAAATGCCTTTTGCTTGTTTTTTTCTGTAGACACAAACCCGGGAGGTAACGGATCCTTTCCTTTTTTGCGACCACCGTCATTTTTGAAAATGCTTCGGATTTCTTCGTTTGACAATACCGTGGGAGGGCGTCGATGTTTTTTCTGCTTTCTTTCTGCGCCAGGTGCTTGCTCCGTTTCAGGCTCGGTTTCGTTGGCCTTAATATTTCGAACCCCTTTCTTTAAAAGCAACTGAGCAAGTCCAATTTCTTTGGCCTTTCTGATCCCCGATTTTGAGACTCGTGTGACCGGTGGCTTTACTGTAGCAGTCTTTTTTAAGCCTGCCTCGGTTTGCTCTTTGGGCTGCGAATCTTCAGGTTGCGGCTGTTCTTTCAAGACAGGAGAAGAAACCTTCTCGCCTTCCGGCCTCCCTTCCAATTCCTGTTGGACAGTCAGGTCACAGAGTTGGTCATTCTTGACCTTTCTCCTTCGTTGAAGCTCTTCCTCTCTCCGCTTTTCGAGCTCAATCTGCTGTTCGATGGATGGGGATTGCAGGCTTTGAAATTGTTTCTGGTACTCGTTGAATCTAGGTCCATTAGATCATCACTCTTGAGGAGGTCTGCTTGGCACTTACCCAGAAAGATCATCTTCACCTGTGTCGAGCAACCAGTCACTGGTCCTGGGGGAGGCAGACCCTGAGAAATCATCATCCTGCACGAACAAGCTTTCAACTGGGTGTTGAACGGTTTCAAGCGGCTTTCTCGCGGCCTTCTGGTGCTGGTGCTTGGCCATTAATAATTCGGCACGCGGCATTGGACGTTTTCGGGTTGGTGGATTGTCGTCTTCTTCTGTGAGGTCAATGACAAGACGGCCTTGAATTAGCTGAGCATTGTTGAACTCCTGTGGTTCCATTTTGATACCTGGTTCCCGTTTGATGATGTTGGGTCCTTTGATGGTCAAGGGATTGAACTTGTCGCAGCTTTTGATTTCCTGGCCGTTCTCGTCGGGAAAGTCTTTCTTGATCCGCGGACCATTCAAAGCACCGTAAGTAGATTGATCATTGCCCGAGCTCTGCACTGCTGGGTAAATTGTCTTTTGAAAGACATACTGAGTCCCATCAGTGGGTCCGTAAGTGAGGTGGTCACCACTCACTTTGAAATGGGACTGAGCCATTTCAGGAGCCCTGTTGTTGTGCGATTCTTCCTGTTTCTCGGAGGATTGAATTTTGATCCTGTCAAGGGTGCAAGGAAATAAGAACGAAAATATGAAAAGGACAATTGAACGAAAAGAGAATATAAGCTCGGGTTGCAGAGGACACTGTTGCAGCGGGAATGTGAAGGAAGAAAGATGAAAGATGCACGGTGTAAAGGAAACGAAGCCTTTTATAACCACCACCCCGAGGGTTTGAGATTGAAACTGGAGGAACGAAGCAATCGATAACTGGTTTTGTTTTGAGAATCGTAGATGACAGTGTTGCAACGGGGATGTGAAGGAGGAGAGATGAAAGAGGTACTGTGTGAAGGAAACGAAGCCTTTTATAACTACCACCCTCAGGGTTTGAGATTCAACCTGGAAAAACGGGGTAACCAGATAATGACTGGCTTGGCTTTGAAGATTGTACAGGATACGGTTCGGGGATGTGAAGGAGGAGAGATGAAAGAGGTATGGGGTGAAGGAAAAGAAGCTTTTTATAACCACCACCCCTAGGGTTTGAGATTGAAACTGGAGGAACGAAGCAATCGATAACTGGTTTTGTTTTGAGAATCATAGATGACAGTGTAGCAACGGGGATGTGAAGGAGGAGAGATGGTGGATGTATGGTATGAAGGAAACGAAGCCTTCTATAACCACCACCCCTAGGCTTTGAGATGGAACCTGGGAAAACGAAGTAACCAGATGATGATTAGTTTGGTTGTTGAAGATTGTAGAGGATACTGTTGCAACGGAGATGTGAAGGAGGAGAGATGAAATATGTACCGTGTGAAGGAAACTCGGCCTTTCATAACCACCACCCCTAAAGTTTGAGACAGAACCTAGGGAAATGAAGGAATCAGATGATGACTAGTTTAGTCTTGAATATCATAGACGACAATGTAGCAACGGGGATGTGAAGGAGGCAAGATGGTGGATTTATGGTGTGAAGGAAGCAGAGTAGTTTCACCACTTATACTGGGGTGTATAGCCTAGGGAGACGAAGGAAATCAGATAAAGACTGGCTTGGACTTGGCAATTATAGACGAAAGTGTAGTAACGGGGATATAAAGAAGGAAGGATGATATATATAGTGTAAAGGAAACGAATAGCCTTTTGTAACCACCCCCCTAGGGTTTGAGATGAAACCCAGGGAGACGAAGCAAACCAGAGGAAGACTCTCTCGGATTTGGAAATAACAGAATTGGAATTGTGGCTAATTCTGTGGAAGTAGTAGGGATATGAAAAAGAGGGGAAATGAATGAATGATGCGAAGGAAGCAGAGCACTTTAACCACTCATACCAGGGTATAGGGGCATAAGCAAACCACATAACGACTGGCTTGGGTTTGGCAATAGCAGGACGGGCTTTTGACTAATTCTGATAACAAAAATATGAAGGGGAGATGCTGGATGTATAGTATGAAGGAAGCGAGAAGACATATGTACGCTGTGAAGAAAATGAAAGCCCTTCAACCACCAGCCCTATGGTTTGAGATGGAACCTAGGGAGACGAAGCAATCAGATGATGACTGGCTTAGGTTTGGTAATGACAGAACCACACTGAAAGCGATATGACCAAGCAATAGGGCCGAGCAAGGATATGCGTAAACGAGAAGATGATTAAGTCTAGGAGACCGGCATGAGCAGTTTTGTGCATAGAACATATCAGAAGGGATGTGGTAGTACGGGCAGTCTCTAACTGCCAATGCGCCATAACAGGTTTTGCCTGTAGTATACTTTGAGGATGGGTTTTTATATATCTGAATAGACCAATGTCACACAAATTCTCCATATAAGTTCAAAGTTAAATCTAACTCTCGATAGTCGAATTCTTAATACCTTCTTAACACTTGAATTCTCGATACCTGATTTCTTAGTGCCTAATTTCTTAATAGTCTATCTTTCTATACTTGAAATTCTTAATTCAAGAATAGTCTGCGGCGTTTACGGCCTCTACCCTTAGGAATGATATAATCTAGTAGGCATTTTAGTAGTCTTTTTAGATATCTTCTCCTCTTAGCTTTTCTCGATAGATGGTATAAAATGGCGGAAAAAAGCTTAATTTGGAAAACCACTTTTCCATATATAAGCTTTAACTTGAATTCTTTATACTTGGATTCTTTATTCTAAGTTCTATTTTCCACAACTACTTTTATATCTAATTCTCGGTAATATAACTCTCTATTTAATCCGCATTATAACCTACCAGTTGAAATAGAGTAATTATCTAGTAAAAGTAGCATAAGAATTAGATTTGAACAGCTAATTAAAAGGTTTATACGGAGTTGTTAATGGGCAAATAATGAAAAACCGGCGGTGAGCCAGGCGGACAAAATTTACTATGCCATGTGCGGTAGGTTGACGGTAATGACTGGATTGAGCTCTGTAGCAACAGAGCTAAGTATCGAATGCTAAATGAGTGTATATGGCCAGGAAACCCATCTGGGCAGCGCAACCCTAAGAATAAATGCCCTTCGCAGCAAAACAAGCCACTGCTCAAATTCATCGTTCTCCGTGCTTTCCCTGTTCTTCCCTTCCTTTTTTTTTTTTTTTTTTTTCTTTCAATTTTCTTTTCTTCTTCGCCCGCCAGGTAGCCCACCTCCTAATCCTCTTCGGAAGAATTCACCTCCTCAATTATCCCTGATTCAACAGCCTGTGCCCAGCTGTGGGCATGTTTGTTTTCCTTGCTAGTGAAAATCGAGAATCCACCATTTGGTTTTTCGTGGACTTCCCCGGAGAGACCGAGTATCTCTTTGAGCGAGTCCGTACTAAACAGCTGACGGATATTGTGGGCCTTCATCTTCTGTAGGCTAACCATCCACGTGTCAATTGAACCTTTCGCGACGATTTGAACGTATTCGACCATGCGAGGCTGCCCGATGCGGTACAGTCGACAGTACGCCTACCAACTTATGGTTAGCTTGAAAATGATCCTTTGCCCCTTCTAAGATCCGGATCCTGACTCCCATACCTGGTCTTGGATTGCCTCATTCCACCAAGGATCCACGAGGATGCACTTGTTAGCCATGGTCAAATTGAGACCAACGCCGCCAGTCTTCAGGGAAGAAATCATGATTTTGATATCTTTCTCCTTGCCGAATTGCTCGATTTGCTTATCACGCGAGGTGGGAGATACCTTCCCTGTAATCTATATTGACAGTGTTAGTTATGTAACTCGGTGTTTTTCTTTCCTAGAATTGACGTACGGTTGCATATTCCCAACCCTCTTCCCCACACATGAACTGAAGAAGTCGGATGGTCTTCAGAAACTGAACGAAGATAACGATCTTAACGTTCTCATCCTCTTTCAACCAGTTTGAGACAAGATCCCGAACCGCTGTGGTTTTCGCTGATAGCATGCGATCGCCAATGCGCGAAACCCAATCAACCTCATCCTCACTGGGCTCGTCCCACTCATCATCTGATGGATCTCTCAATAGAACTTGTTGGTTGAATGCCTTTTGAGACCGCTTTTTGAAGGGTTCTTTGCCCGTTTTCTTCGGCGTGGACTGCTTTCTCTTCTTTGGTGAGCCCTTCTTTGGTGAGCCTTTCTTTGGTGAGTCCTTTGGTGAATCGTCGGAGTATCCAGCCTCCTCGATGGGTTGATTGCAGGATTTGCAAACGCGAATGGCGGTTTCGGCGTTTCCATTTTGGTCTGGAAGTTTGTCAAAACAGCCTTTGCAGTAAAGGTGGTAACAAGATGTGACCACAAATGCCTCCTCTCCCTTTACAATTTCATCGCAAAGAGGGCATATTCTCCTCATAAGTGACTGATGTTTTCCCTCGTTTTTGCGGATGCGCTCCACCTGTTCGTAATATATCGTACGAAGTTCGAAAAAGTCTCCTGGAAGCCTTGGTCGAGGAGCAAGCTTATCTGCAACGGCGAGAATCAAGTCGACGATGATCCTTGATGGGGTCTCGGACACGCCTTCTGCTTGTGCCATGACATTGAGCCCTTCAATCACACGTTGATTGAGCACAGTCTCGAGGAATCTTTGGGCGAGGAGCGGGTGGCTCACAAACATTCTCAGCATTGTTATCACGGCCAAGATGCATTTGCTTTGTCGTTGCTTTGTATCTGCCAAGCCTTATAGGCTGTGTTAGTGCTTAGTTTCTTCATCACTGATATTGACAGACCTACCATTGATCATTGCAATGCCGAGATCCTGGATCTCCCTGTAAAGAAACTTTTCGGCTGGGCAAAGTTCGACCTCCACCACTCGGTTGTTGATGCCCGGAAGCGTGACAATAGGCTTTCCAAGTATCCGGGTACTGTATGTACTGCGGTGCAGTACGGTCTCGAGGATGTTATCCAACCCCTAAGTAGAAGGTTAGTTCTGGATTTTGGAGTAGAGGCTCGACGAGACTAACACTGCGGTACTTTTTCAAAAAGGTCTCATATTCCATTCTTTCCGATGTAAAGATGAAATGAAGGTATGGATAAAGCTCTTCCACACCGCTGGAACACATAGTCAGTACGAAGGATTTCAGTCATTTCAAAGCTTGCCATGGTAGTTAGTGCATACTTGTGCAAAGGTGTCCCGCTCATAGCCCACTTGAATTCGCCCTTCAAGGCTCTGACAGCGATAGAGGTCGCGCTATCTTTGTTCTTGATCGAATGAGCTTCTGCGAAGCCGAATTAGTACTAACTGCCATGGATGTTTTTAGAGCAATGTCATGTACATACCATCAAGAATGATGCGGTGCCACTCAACCTTATGGAAAGGCCCAGCTCTGTGATCGTACTCCTCTTCTTTCCAAGCGTCAAGCTCTTCAGGAGACTTTATCTCGACTGGTGGTTTCAACTTCGGATGTGAGCTGCAGATTTCCTCATATGTGGTGATTCTATAAGGTCAGTGAACATGGAACAAATAGTAACCTGCGTCAGATGTTGTCTTACACAATAAGCTTTTTTTGCATCGCTTTCACAACATCGCGCGCGCTCGTTCGGGAACCGGCGTAATACTCGAGAACGTCTTTGATTATTTTGCTCTCGCAATGTGTAGAAATTTGATCGATCCTATAATAGTCGAGTGAGGAATACACCCATTATCTTCGAGGAGTGAGACATACCATTGTGTAATCAAGCTTCTCGGGACAATGATCAGAGTTGGGGCTTTTGAACGAGCTGGGAACCTTTCGTGCGCGATGGTTGCTGGTGAAAAGGTAAGCTTTCTGACTTTGCAAGATGGCCATTCTTCGTTCATACCGAGAACTGTAAGCGTTTTCCCGAGCCCCATCTCGTCACAGAGCAACCCACCATTTGGTTCCTCCCCTGAGCTTTCGCGATCGCGCTATGCAGGTCAGCTAAACGTCATGTCATATTACAAAAGGATGAAGCTTACCATCCACGCAGCAGCCTTGAGCTTTTGAAATGGTTAGTCACATATCACAACTTGAGTTTGATAGATGAAGGATTTCGAACCTGGTGGTGCTTCAGCAATGTCTCGAGACCCTCAACCTTCCAGTTCATGTTCACAATTTTCGCAGAAGGGGTGAACTTCTTCGAGTCCTCGATCAGTGCAGCTGCATCCTTTCTGGCCTGCGCTTGGTCGCCAATTGGAAGCTTCGCAACCTCCTCCGCGAGCGCTTTCGCTTTGTCTGCTTTCTGGGACACAGGGATAGATCGCTTCATATCAGCCGCATTGGCATTCGCATCGCTCAGTATGTTGCTTTGCATCAGACTCTTGACTTTCTCGTTCAACTTTGATGAGATCGAGGGTTTTGTCTTCTTTTTCCCCTTCGATTTGTTTGAGTGCCGTATCTTCACTGGCTTGGGAGAACACTCCATCGTATCAATGTCGCTCTCATTCCTGGAAGAAGGCTCTGCATCCTTAGAATCACCCAGTGGCTGCTCATCTGGAGCGAGCTCGGACTCGTCGTCAGAAGGATTTTCGTCGTCATCAGAAGAACTTTCGTGGTTGTCAGAATAGTTTTCGTCGTCCCCAGAAGACTGCCCATCATCGGAGCTTTCTGTCGACTCTGTTCCATCCAGCAATTCCTCAGGTTCCTTAGGCAAATCTTCTGGTTCGGGGTCATCCTGGTTTGGAATTTTTTTCGAACTGAGATAAACAGTGCGCAGGTTCTGATTTGGCCTGACACCTGGGATGGAGACTTCCAGGTTTGTCAACATGATCGGAGTGTGTGCCAGATCCTCTGGCTCAGTTTTCACCCGCACATCATTGGCAGGACTTGGAGTTTCCTTTGGGGTCTCCTCAATTGTGTTCGCGGTATTTTCAGTTGGTTCATCCATTTTTGCTGGACTTTGCATGTTGAAATCACAGGATCACAGGATGTATCGGGGTGGTGCCGGAATACCGAGTAGGGAAGCGAACAGGATGTTGGGTGGACAAAGTTGAATAGAGAACTTTAGGGTGTGCGAACTCGAAATGGGGGATGAGAAAAAGGGGTTTGGTGAACTGGCTCAGAGAAGAAGCAAGAATTTGAATGTAGCAACACAGAGCACAGAAATAACCCCAGAGGTTGGTGTGAAGAAGATATTCAGAACGGAGACGACGCAAAGAGTTATTGAGTGGGTTGAAACAAAGAATGGTTGGAGATCACAGAGTTGGAGAGTGAAGGAACATATATGAAGAAGGGTTGGTGTCAACGAAGAGAGTGAAGGAATAAGAGGCACGAACTGGGCATAGGGTAGAGAGATACTGAGTAAAGCAATGGTGAAGATTCTGAAGATGGCAGAGATGGAATAGATGAAGGGCAAAGTAGGAGAATAGAGACAATTTGAGAGTGCGCAAGTGTATGAAGACCATAGGATGAAAGATTGTTAGAGGAGAATGAGAGAGGAGACGAGGAGATATCTCGAAAGCAAATATATGATGCCTCGGTGAGATGTTCCGATTTGGTGGTTGAGTAGGGTTAGTGAAGATCACGTCGGTGAAGATCAAGTAGGCATGTTAAGAGATACGAAGTTTGTTGGGAAACGAAGCCTGGTCTTATTCGGTGGACTGTTTATGAAGAAACATTGAGTGGCAGCTTTTTAGGACGACAATAATACGGGTTTGAAGCTATATGACCTTTTTAAATAGTCTAGATTGTTAACTACAGGAGATATATGAGTTGAAGTATAAGAGCCACTCAACAGGCTTCTCATTACCATCATCTCTGATATTCTTTTTTAACTACACTCTCGAGGCAATATTTCGACTTCTTTTTCGATATATTCCGTAGCATCCTTATTAGTATCTTTTTTGATGTCTTCTTTAAGGTCTTTTTAATGTCTTTCTCGATGTCTTTTTGAACGTATTTCTTAATATCTTCCTCGATGTCTTTTTCGATGTCTTTCTCGATGTCTTCTTAGTATCCTTGCTAGTATCTTTCTCGACATTCCTTCAAACGTTATTTCCAATATATTTCTCGATATGTTTCTCGACATATTTCTCCATGTCTTTTTTGACTTCTTTCTCGACATCCTTCTTGACATCCTTGTTGGTCTCCTTATTAATATCCGGGTGATATCGTTTTTTCCATCCTCTCTCGGCTTTATCGGAAGAGCATCCTCATTGTGGGGGTCTAGAAATATCTACTTGGAATATAGAGTAAGGGAATAAATAGGAGCAAGAAATAAGAGAGGGAAAATCTTCCATATCATTCACAGCCCGAACCAAAAGTGGCCGGGTGAATATAATACATCATGCAATAAATACTCCAAAACAAGAATCGTCAAGCATGGTCAAAATTTCCAATCTCATGCCCGAAATCCTCGCAACATAACATTATGGACATGAGGCGTGGGAAATCCCCACCGGATTGATTACTTTAAAGATTATAGAAAAGAAAAGCGAAAGGCCCAGGAGTTGTGTAAGCTCCAGGCCAATCTTAGATGGACAAATATAACAAAATGCCCAGGTTAGGGCCAGCCAGTCACGTGGACTAACCGGCCGGGTATCACAGAAGAAACCGGGTCGGGCGATGGCATGCCCGTATACAAGGCATATATGAACAGAGTGCATTCGCCGGCCGGTGAGACATATCATTGACCAGACACTCGAATGAGAACTAGATCAAGATCGAGCATATAGAGAAGCTTAGTAGGAAATCTTCTCCTCGTAGATGGGGGGCTGGCCCTTCTCCTCGTTCCATTGGATCTTGCAGTTCTCGTCGAGATAGGCGTCCTCGTCCGTGATGGGAATGACGCGCGAGGTGTGCGCGACTTCCTGGGAGCTGACTCCAAGGGCGTCGCGGGGAATCCAGAGAAGAGGGGGCTGCGAGGTGATGGCCGGGTGGCAGTAGGCGTCACGCTCGACCTCGGCGGGGTAAGTGGGGATCTCCGATGAGCTGGGGACCAGCTTGCGCAGCTGGTGGTAGTTGTGGTACAGGTCTGGACGCAGGAACTTGGTGAACAGGTTCGGCTTGGGCGCTGGCGACGAGGTATCGGTGAGACCCTTCTCGGCAGAGTCGACGCTGCCGAGACCGTTGTCCACGTTGGCGACACCGCTGTCGCGGGGGGGAGGTGGATCCGCTGGCTTCGGTCAGGTCCTCGATCTTCGACTTCTCGTTCAAAGTATCGATGTTGGCCTTCTCAGCGGCGAGTAAACCCTCCTCCTCTGCCTCGAGGTTCTTGGGCAAGTAGTTGAGGAGGGGCTCCATGGCGCTGTTCATCGAGAGGTGGAACAGGATGACAAAGACCAACAAGATGATCATCAGAATCAGGGGACCGAGGGCCATGGTGTTGGCGCCGGAGCCAATGGCGAACAGACCAATCAGACAAACCATGGACAGGTAGCAGCCGACAGTGAGCTGCTGCAGAGCACGGGTGTAGCACCTACCCTGGGTGTCGATGGTTGCGTTCGACACGTACAATAGGTTGTACCGGAAGGCGAAATAGAACAGGTAGAGACCAATGGTACCGAAGCCCATGACAAGCGGCGCAATGCAGGAGTAGACGATTGCTATAACAAAAGTTAGTATCATAAAATCAAATAAATCGATCATGGGTTTAACATACCGACAACGGTCAACAACGTGAAGGCAGGGTAGACAGTGCCCCATCCGAGACCAGCCAAGCTTGACCAACGAGTGTAAATCTTGCGAGGGGTGCTATCCAGCAACTTGCCCAGGATCTTGCCGATGATCAGGCCGGCAATCTGGAGAAGAGCACCGGCGCTGAAAGACAATCCCTGCAGAATGATGTAGGAGATGTAGAAGTTGGACGCTTTCGGGATGTTCTGGGCCAGCAACGAGGCAGCCGAGGCGGGGTTGTCAATGATATCATTGACGACACTGGTGGCCGATGAGGCAACGGTCACCACCAGGAAGACCTGAACAACTTGGAAAGCGAAGAACCAGTTCTGGACAGTGAGTTCAACGGCGGCAAGACTAGGGACACCACCTAACTTGGCCATCAGGCGAAGGACGATAGGGACCAGCGCCATGAGGACAGCCATCAAAACTGTGGGCAAAAGACCGGTAATAACACCCTTAATCCATGACGGAACACTGTCGATGAACTTGAGGAAAGGAACAATCTTGGTCAAAGAGTCAATGTTGGAAATAGCACCAACAACTGCAGTCGGAATGGCCCAGAAGATGATCATAGCGCAAACAAAAGCAAGCGTGGCAGCGTGGCGACCGAGGCGTTCCCACCACTTGATGCGGAGGTTGGACCAGATAACCTGAGTAGGGTCTAAACCAATGAAGCGAGGGCTCATGTGCAGGGGGAGGTTGTGGGCCACAGACTGGAAGGAAGCCTGGGCGTCAGACTGATTGTAGAACTCGACGAAGACGGAGGAGACCAGCTTGGTTTCTCCAGCGCGGTGCTTGGCCTGTAATTCCTCGATTTCGGGAGAGAGACGCTCGATTTCCGCACGGGCCCAATTGATAGTGTCGACCTTCTTGCCAATGAGCATCTTGAGACGGTGCGTGGGACGTTTTTTAGCCTCCACCCAACGAGCAGCGACGGAGCCAGACTCATCATCAAATTGGCCATCGCCAATGTCAGTCTCGGGGTTCTCAGCCGAGCCCTGCTTCTTAAGAGCCTTGGCGCGCGCCTTGTTAGCAAGCACAATGAGCTTGGTCTCGGCACCCTCGAGCTTCATCGCAGCAGCATCACGGTCCTTGACCTTCTCCTCGAGCTCCTTAGTGTCGGTTGCGATCCAGACATTCTTGACCTTGTCGTGGCCGAACATGGTACGAAGCTTGTCCTTGTTCAAGAGGTCCTGGGTAACGGTCGTAAACAAAACGGTGCGAGACGAGAGGCGGCTAGCGTAGGCGGGCGAGAAAAGGTACGCCTGGCGCAAGTTAATATAGAAGAGGTGCTCGCGGGTGATCATGAAGAAAATGAAGGCGACAAAGATCCAGGCGAGGAAGCAATGCGCGTAGTAACGAGCATATTGGGTCTTATGGATATTCGAAATGCTCAGCATGTTCAGTTCGATCATACCACCACCACCGGTGGCATTGACGGGCCACAAGATGGGGAAAGTGATACAGCAGCCCACCAACAATATGACGGAGCATAGTTTGAGGAAACGAAGCATGAGGTAGGCGTCCATCGAGTGATGCTGCAGGACGTAGGTGTCAGGTAGCTGGTACATGGCCTTGATCCAGTTCCAGGCTCCGGTCGGAGATTCGGGGGTTCGCTGCCAGGGACTGAGGTATCCAATGTAGGTTCGGGGCATGTACATTCGGCGATTGCTCTTGCGCAGGATGATGAAGAGCAACACCATCACGATGAAGGAGATGAGGGCGGGAATTAGGGTGGTAAGCAGGCCAGACAGCGACGGCGTGGTGTCCTGCGGGTTATCGCTCTAGTATCGTTAGTAGAGAACCAGCTACCTAGGTGTGCAACAGGACTTACTGCCCTGGCGCCCAGCCAGTGAACGGCATCGTTGGCCATTGTGAAGGTATTCGCGAGGGTATATTCAGAATGTCCAAAACGCGATTCAATTCCACGCGTGTGAAGGGTTGAGGTGGGGGAAGGGGGGGGGGGGGTTAAGTCTCCCCAAATTTGAGAGAGAGAATAAAAGGAAGGAAAAAAAAAAAGAGACAAGCTTAAAGTTTAGTAGGCACTGATGGACAGTAGGGAGGAGAGGGGCTAGGATCGCAGATCTGCCTACGTAATTGAAGTACCTTAGATTTATGTTTTTTTGGTGTTATTTGGGTTATTTTCCTACTTTCTTCAGATTAATTGTTCATTTTTCTTCAATTTTCTCCATTTTCTCATTTTTCTGCAAAATTGAACCTAAAACATCATCTATAGCGTCAGTAGATCCATGGATGGCAAGAGGGCAATCCAGACTTTTTTTCCCATGGTCCAGATGCGACCAAAGATCCTGTTCGTACTCTCCGTCTCCCCCAGAGATGGCCCCATTTCCCGATTCAATCAATCACATGGGATCATCTATTTCTTTTAATGGATTTGATTAATTTTTCCCTTCGGAGATGTCCGCCACACCACCCCAGCCACATCTACAGCTATCGGAGGTACTTTCACTTGACGATCATGACGCTCAGCTCACAGGGATGTTTATTCATTATGTTGTAACTGCGCAAGGGATGCTGTGAGACAAAACAAAGTTCTTGGAAATACTCCGTACTCTGTACAAAATCCTCGGTCACACATATTCGGAATTGGAGAAAGTCCCAGAGAATTTATCTACCCTTAGAGAATCCAGGGGTACATATGTAATTGTGTCTCCACAGATCAGACTGCTGAAGGACACGAGGTTGTCCTTTGGGTCCATGCTTTTTTTTTAGCTATTGCTTTTTTACTCCGTACTTTCTGCGTTGTTTACCGACTATCAACATCATTGCGGTCTGTCGTGTCATTGCATGCTAATTCCCGCTACGAAGTAAAATCACGAGGCGATCGTCAAATGATAATTCAACACCTGAGCTGGAGCCAATTACTCCTGTACCTAGATCGGGATTTCTCGCCACAGAGAGCGCTAAGGGTAGCTAGCGGGTTGCACTATTGACCAGGATCTGTGCGTTCAGTGGGGCCAAGATTTGCATGAAACCCCCTTCGTGAGAGTCGAATTTAGTATCCATGTTGTAGGTAAAGTTAGCGAGCCCGAAGACAGGTCGACATTCTCTCAACTTGAAACCCTTGAAACCTCAGCTGCGCCTCTAGTCAACAAGCGAGCTGTATTTACGTAGTACTGCGCCATTTGAAGATACTAGTGATAATATATCCCACCTCAATGAGAAAATTAGTTTCCATCACGAAGCGTGGGCGCCGATGAATTGATCCAGTACTGTAATGACATACCTACATTGTAACATTAGAGTCACAGCAAGCAATTTGCATGACGATCGATCTCACAAGTCACGGTGGATAGCTGTGACGCGATACGCCGACGGATGGTACATATGTATTTGGTTAGCGTTGGGTCACTTTTGCTCGGCATTACGCATGCGCTTTAGTACTCATGGAGACCCGATCTTTCTTTGCTAATTGGTGTGGCAACGTTTCAAGGTTTTTTTTTTCCTGCATCGATATCAAAGGTCAGAGGTTATATAGAAAAGTCCGTTTTACGAATTAAGCCTCTTACCGCTTTTTTCTGCTCCCTCCTTAACAAACCGAGAAGGAGAGAAAATATCTAGACATATCTAGACATCCAAAAAGACAAACTGAGAATAATAACAGAGAAGAATCTGACAATACCACCAAAAAAGACATTTAAAAGACATTTAAAAAGACATCTGAAAAGACATCTGAAAAGACATCTGAAAAGACTACCTAAAAACGACTTGACAAGGCCGCATAAGCGGCCGACTATTCTTGTACGGAGTACTAAGATATCAAATTGTCTGGAAATCTGGAAGGGGCAACCAGCCCTGGAGCTTCCAAGGTTCCCCCTTAGTCTCCACTGGGGTGAACTCAATGACGCTTAGACTTATCCTGGTCCTCGGGTCCTCCAGGACTGCCAAGACATTCTACTCGTGCCCTGAGTTGTGAGTTGATACCACAGTTGTATTCCGTACAGAGTAGCTATATTGAGTTAAAATCCCAAAAAAAGAAAATTTGTCATTGAGAATTATGTGAACTATGTGAACTATGTGAACTATGTGGAAGCTCCTCTTCAAATGCAGTGACCCCGCGGATAGGCGTCTGAAAGGTTAAGAAACTCATGAGAATCTCATTAAACTGGAACTGGAGGTCAGGCCGGAGCCGTTTATGCGCCTTGACCAGCTCGCCAGTCGACCATCCACGTTCGGGATCTTGTAAATCGGAATCATGTCCTTCTTCCAGCAGCAACCACAGAAGGGTTTCACAAGCTGGATCCCGATCGAGATGGTGCTGTTTCGCTGTGGTACATAAAAAGTCAAGGAACCGATCGGTCTTATTTGGGGACTCCTGGAAATCCCACAGTGCAGCCGTAATATAAATGAGCGCCGCCGTTCGGCTGACCTCCTGGGTTTGCGCACCACGAACCACATATACACGCGACTCGTGTGGCACTTGGGAGGGCCGCGGTCCACTAGACAGCAGGGAAAATAGAGGACTTTCCATTTGGAAAGCCTTAAGTCTGTGAGGTGCTTGGAGGAGGTATTCGGAGGAGCTGTGTTGCCGCATGAGGTCTTCGGCTCCGCGCAGAAAAGTGAGTAGCCATTGCTGCTCCGTCAAACTGATCTGGGGGCTTTCTGGCATCATCAGGTATCGGACGTAGTGGATAAATACTTCCACAGGCTTATTAGTTCCTGTTCGTGGTCGCATAACCTGGATCGCGCGGTCAACATATATCTGGGCCAGTTGCTTGCTCCCGAAGCGCCCTTCGTTCAAGGCCATTCCACCCAAGGCCATTGCAAGATCATCCGCTCTGACTAGCGCCGAGCCTGAGTGAACGTCATCTATGAGTTTCGCGGCTTGACCAACATGGCGCTGGATTTCGGTGCTGTCAGGCATGTCGTACAGCTGTGCTTTCCACCGCGCGCAGTATGACAGGACTACTGCCTTGAATGAAAGAGGGTTTCCCATAGCCGTGCGGAAAATCTGGTTTTTCATGTGAAGGTTTTGTCCGGACCAGTACGTCAACTTGTTCCTCCAATAGTCAGCCAATTCAATATCGCTATTGTCGTATTCGATTGGCAGACTAGCAAACGGATCCCTCCGTGAGGCATCAAGTATCGTGATTGGCGAGCCAATGTGTGGTAGGGGAGTATGAGGTTGCGATTTCATATTTGAGAATCTGATTTGAAGCTGCAACACACCATGACATTAGCATCTAGATCCATCATCCTTTGCAGCTAAGCCTACACCTAGATAGTCTAGCTTTGGCTGTGGCCTAGATACTTGACGAGAGGAAAGTGATTCCCATACCGAAGTTTCCCGGTTGGGGAAGTTTTGTACAGCTGTCGAAGGCGACTCCAATCGAGTATTTTCGACAGTTCCTGCCTCTTTATTCGCCGGGTATGTGGTATAATCTGGGGTGTGCTCTTTGGGGAGTGTTCCACGCGACATTTTGCGCTGTTTCCTTTTTTCCTGTACATGGTGGCGCATAACATGAGCGCGCTTTTCTTTGGATGACGAGTTCTGATCAACAAAGTAGAAGTGTTGGTTCTTGGGAGGTTTATTCGTCGATTCGGCGGCGCGTCGTCGCCTTCCAGGTTTGGCGGTTTGAGGGCCATGGCCAGAGGCGGAGGGTGCTGTATGAGAAGCTTTAGCTGATTTGTGCTAGCAAGTTGGGAGGTTAGCTTGTAAAGGCGGGGGGCATACCCGATGCATCCGTCTCAGACGGGCCCAACGGCGGGACAGCGCTGGGCCTGGTCAGTGTCGATACTAACCGTCGTTCGTTGTCAGACATGTCGAGCTGTGAAAACATAGATTTCCTTTGTCGACACAATGAAACATTCAAAACTGCATAACCAACCGATGGTCACCAAGTTTCCTCCAGCCAAGGACTCGGGATTTGAAAGAAACCATCGCAAGACACACAAGTGCTATGTCATGACAGTGTCAGACGGTCACGGAGAATATGTACAGAAGAAAGGGTGAGGAAATCACGCTAGCACAGAATAGTCTAACTTACGAGGCAATACAATGCGAGGGGAGTATAATTCTCCGGGAGGAGAATAATGGTTTCAAATGCTCCAGTGCGGGCACCCCGTCCACGGGGTGAAAGAAGCTCTTATATAAGCGCCAAGCACCAACCATTTACCCAATGGATAAACCGGCAGTTAATTAATTCCAAAATGGTCGGAGTATATGCACACATACGGAGTAGGTCAGAACAAGCATTAGTTACTTTATTGGCTTCAACTTTTCTATAACTGTGTTGGTTCCCATGATCACCAAAGTCCAACTTGCTCTCATTAGGATTCCGTACCTTTTACAGAGGTACGTGATAAATTTCAACTTAACTAACATGTGTAAATATTTAATATCTTGTTCATAAACGTACTCTACACTTGAGAAATAGCCTCGAATTTACAGAGTATTTTATTTCAAATATAACTATATTATGTTGTACTCCGGAATGTGAAGTAGTACCCGGGTTTTGAGATATATCAAATCGAGACCCCCTTTCGCTCAACAAATGACAAATAAGGGTATATCACCGTGAGCCCCTCAACCAAAAGCCCACTTGGAATTTACACCTCCTATTTTAGGATTGACAAATAATCCAGGCCAAACGGGCCAAACTGATCAAACCTGCAGTTTTCAAGTATATGCTACTCTGTACTTAGTTCGCCCTTTGATCATAGGTATATTTAAGATGAACATGTTTTGCGGTTTGAAAACCAGAAGCCAGGCCATGACCTCGGAAAACCCGGGGGTTGGCAGTTTTGCGCCTCAAATCAACGATAGTGGGGGCGCTAAGCAGAACAACTCAATTTATTTGCAGTGAAGATGAAGAGAACCTACTGCCTAGATGGGTTAGCGTGGATAATTACATAAGGAAACCACTTAACGCGTCGGTATAGGATCAACTATTCTTCCGAGTACGCGTTCGCGTCGCGTCTTAGTTGCCCAAGGAGACCCGTGAAGGAGACCCACGAAAAACTAAGATAGCAAACTGAGTCTACGATATCATCTCTCCACATTTTCTTTTTTCCCCCTCAAGACGTGAGAGCTTTACCCTTGTTTTTACATTGGCCATTTTCTGGCCATTAGCTCTTTGCCATGTCTTCCCTTTTCGACGCCGTGATCCAGTCGGAGCTGGGCTCTGCGCCTTCTCGTGATCAAAACCTCCGATCCGACAATCTGCCCAGCTCCCGACGCTCGGAGAGCAATGGCCCTATGAGTGATATGAATGCCTTCCCAGATGACCAAGTCGTCGGAGCGGGAAGCTCGGCAGTCAGCCGTATGCGGAATCCATATGCCCCTGGCCCCCCACCGGTGGTCGACGAGGCGGCAGAGAAAGTCCAGCAGGCATTTGAAGAGCTGCTCGAGTCATACATCGATGAACCCTCATCTTCTGCACCGCCCTCATCAGGCGAGTTTCTTAGTGACAAGTATTATATCGCTCAGATCAAAGGGATGAAGAAATTCGAGCTGTCAACTCTCTACGTTGATTTCACACACATCCTTAATCCCGTCTTGGCAGATGCCATTGCCGGCCAATACTATCGATTCCAACCCTTCCTCACTAAGGGACTGCACAATCTCATCGCCAAGTACGAACCAGAATACTTCGTCTCCCACCGAATGACTGCCAGCGCCTCTTCGCGAGCCAGTACCTCGGTTGCCTCAGCATATGCGGGCGTTTCAGATAACCCCGACCTCGAGCGTCAGATCCGCGAGAAGACTCGCCACCAGCAAACTGACAAATTGTTTGCCCTTGCATTTTACAACTTGCCTTTGGTTTCAAGACTACGACAACTTCGCACGAATCAAATCGGAAAATTGCTTTCCGTCTCTGGAACTGTCACAAGAACTTCAGAGGTGAGACCAGAATTGTCGCTGGGAACTTTTATCTGTGAAGGTTGCAAGACTGTCGTCCCGAATGTTGAGCAGACTTTTAAATATACGGAGCCAACGGAGTGCCCCAATAATACCTGCGGCAACCGCGTGGGATGGCGCCTAGATATCGGAAAGAGTACATTTGTCGATTGGCAAAAAGTCAAGCTCCAGGAATCGTCGCACGAAATCCCGACTGGTAGTATGCCACGCACAATGGATGTCATCTTGCGTGGTGAGATGGTTGATCGCGCCAAGGCCGGTGAACGCTGCGTCTTTACGGGCACCTTGATTGTAGTTCCCGATGTCAGTCAATTGGGTCTTCCCGGTGTGCGCCCTGAGGCCGTCCGCGATAACAATTCCTTCCGGGGTAACGAGGTCGGTGGTAGCGGAGTCTCTGGACTGAAGTCTCTGGGCGTGCGCGACCTGACTTACCGATTGGCCTTCCTGTCTTGCATGGTCACTCCAGACACAACGACTCCTGGCCAGAAGCCGGAGCAGCAGCTGAGTGGCCAATCAAATAATATCCTGGCTTCCTTGAACCAAAACCAGGAGGCTGATATTGGGGATGAATCGGCCCAAGAAGCTTTCCTGCAAAGTCTTACCCCGGCTGAAGTCCAGGATCTCAAGCGCCTGGTGCACTCGGAATATATTTACGCCCGGCTTGTGGACTCGATTGCCCCCATGATCTGGGGTCATCGTCAAATCAAAAAGGGTCTGCTTTTGCAGTTGATTGGTGGTGTTGGCAAGTCGACATCGATTGAGAGCCTAAAACTTCGTGGTGATATCAACATCTGTATTGTTGGCGATCCATCGACCAGTAAGAGTCAATTCTTGAAGTAAGTTTTGCCGACTCCTGACATATAGACATTGGTTACTGACGGGGTTCCTTAGATACGTCTGCTCCCTGCACCCTCGTGCAGTATACACCAGTGGTAAAGCCTCTTCGGCAGCTGGTTTGACTGCTTCAGTTGTGAAGGATCCCGAGACAGGCGAGTTCACCATTGAAGCTGGTGCACTGATGCTTGCGGTATGTTCCAAATGTGGCTCTCATGAAGTGTGGGCTCATCGCTGACATTTTCTTTATAGAACGGTGGTGGTATTTGTGCCATTGACGAGTTCGACAAAATGGATATCGCCGATCAGGTCGCTATTCACGAAGCCATGGAACAGCAGACAATCTCTATTGCCAAGGCCGGTATCCATACTACTCTCAATGCCCGTGCATCCATCCTCGCCGCCGCCAACCCGGTTAATGGTCGCTACGACCCGAAGCAAACCCTTCGGAACAACTTGAACTTCAGCGCGCCCATTATGAGTCGTTTCGATGTGTTCTTTGTTATCCGTGATGATCCAAAGGAGTCTGTTGATCGCAGTCTGGCCGAGCACATTGTCAACGTGCACATGAACCGCGATGAGGCAGTTGAGCCCGAGTTGAGCACAGAACAACTGCAGCGCTATATCCGATTCGCACGCACATTCCGCCCCGTCTTCACTGATGAGGCGAAGACGCTGTTGGTCGAGAAATACAAGGAGCTGCGCTCCAACGACGCCCAGGGAGGTGTGGGCCGCTCTTCATACCGTATCACCGTTCGTCAGCTTGAGTCTTTGATTCGTTTGTCCGAGGCTGTCGCCAAGGCCAACTGTGTCGAGGAGGTCATTCCCAAGTTCGTCATTGAGGCATACGATCTTCTCCGCCAGAGTATCGTGACTGTTGAGAAAGATGATGTCGAGATTGAAGATGATGTACCTACCCACACCAACGGCGCCGATGAAGACCAAGAGATGGCCGATGGCGACAACGAGGGTGATAGCCCTATGCGTGACGTCGCAGAGCCTGCTCAAGCTCCTGCCCAGCCAGAACGCCAGAAGACCAAGATCACTTATGACAAGTACGCCAAGATCCTGAACCAAATCGTCAGGCGGGTACACGAGGACGAGGTGAACTCGGGCGAAGGTGTCGAGCAAGAAGATCTTGTGCTCTGGTACTTGGAGCAAATTGAGGGTGAACTCAACACCGAAGACGATTATGAACGCGAGCGCGAGTTGGCAGGCAAGGTCTTGAAACGTATGGTCAAGGTTAGTTGTTCTTCCATTTCTATGGCAATATCTGTAAAGTTCTATCAAGCACATCTCACTAACAAACTTATTCTATAGGACAAAATCCTGCTGCGTATCTCCGGATCTGGCCTCACAGATGGAGCTGACGACGAAGCTCAGCAAAATGACGGAAAGGTCCTTTTCGTCCTGCATCCCGATTGTGCCTTCGAGGAGATGTGAGACGAAATTGTGCTTTTTGTCTTTTGGTTATGTTGTTCCTTTTCTTATTTCGTACTGTCTGTATTCCCGGGCTGGGCTATGTTGAACATTTTCAATGGGTTAAATAGAAGGAGCAAGGGGTTATGAATGATGATATCCGTTTAGTTGCGTCTTATGTTTGATAGGACATGAATGATGCTGAATTCAAATATTGTTATAAGACAGCAAAATCAACAAAACAGCTTTGGTAGTTCAGTGGTAGAACACTAAGTGGTATGGAAAGCTATGATGGCAGTCTTCTGGGGACGACGAAAGTTCTTCTGATGACGACGAGTCCGAGTTCGCTCCAGATGAGCAGCCACTAGGTGATTCTAAGGATGAAGAACCTTCTTCCAGCAATGAGAGCGACATTGATACGATAGAGTGTTCTCCCAAGCTAGTGAAGATAGGGCACTCAAACAAATCGAAGGGGAGAAAGTCCCGTCGGTAAATTTCACTAATAGAGTATGGTATATATAAGTTATAAATATCTAAATAATAATAAATACAATCATTTCAATATCCACTGCATCAGTGGTCTAGTGGTTATGATGCTAGTCTTCCAGATAGGACTTGTTCCTTCAAGTAAATTGGCGAGGGGGGTTC